CTGAAATAAATAAACAAATCCCGTTTCGATTGTCCTTTAATTGGAAAAAACTCCCCCTGCACCTATATGGCGCGAAAAAAGGAGGTGTGACACATGTTCTCAAGGAAAATTAATTATTAGACCATCAACTATTAAAGTTAGGATGGAATCCCCTGCATTTTTGGAACGTATACATGGTGATATATGTGGGTCATTCACCCTCCATGTGGACCATTCAAATATTATATGGTTTTGGTAGATGCATCTATAGATGGTCACATGTGTGCTTACTATCAACCCACAATATGGCATTTGCGAGATTGTTGGCTCAAATAATAAAGCTAAGAGCATAATTTCTAGATTAATTAAGACAATTCGTCTTGATAATGCTGGTGAGTTTACATCCCAAGCCTTTAATGATTATTATATTTCAACCGGGATAACAATTGAGCATCCAGTTGCTCATGTTCATACACAAAATGGTCTAGCATAATCATTGATCAAACGTCTCCAATTAATTGCTAGACCAATGCTTATGAGAACAAAACTTCCCATTTCAGTATGGGGTCATGCTATTTTGCACGCAGCAGCACTTGTGTGGATAAGGCCCACAAGTTATCATAAAGTCTCTCCATTGCAATTTGCTTTTGGTCAGGAGCCAAATATTTCCCATCTTAGGATCTTTGGTTGTGCAATATATGTTCCAATTGCTTTACCACAACACACAAAGATGAGTCTTCAAAGAAGGTTGGGGATATATGTTGGATATGAATCTCCTTCTATTATAAAATATCTCTGAAGATTTATTTACGACAAGATTTTATGATTGCCATTTTGATAAATCAGTATATCCAACATTAGGGGGGGGGGAATAAGCAGCTGAAAAAGAAGATAGATTGGAATACATTATCATTGTCTCATTTAGATCCTCGAACAAATCAATGTGAACAAGAGGTTCAAAAGATTATTCATTTACAAAATATTGTAAATCAATTGCCAGATGCATTCACTGACCTACCAAGGGTGACTAAGTCATATATTCCAACTACTAATGCTCCAATTCGAGTTATATCCCGGCAGGACAATTAATTAAAGCAAATAAGTCTAAGCCATGCTTGAAACGTGGTAGACCAATCGGTTCTAAAGATAAAAATCATCGAAGAAGAAAATGAGCAAGTGATCAAAGTGAACATAACACACAGGTAGTGGCTCAAGAAGAGCCCCAAGACGTAACAAATGATAAGACCTCAGGGGAGGTCCAGGTACCTGAAAATAATAAGAATGAAGAGATATCAATAAGTTACGTCTCAACCGGGAAAAGATGAAACCGAAATAATATTGTTATCGATAACATTTTTGCTTATAATGTTGCTGTTGAAATAATGCAACAAGATGAAGATCTTGAACCAAAATCTGTCAATGAATGTAGACAGAGAAATGATTGGCCAAAATGGAAAGACGCTATCCAGACAGAGTTAACTTTACTTGGAAAACGTGAAGTCTTCGGACCCATAGTTTGAACACCTGAAGGCATAAAGCCAGTTGGGTATAAATGAGTTTTTGTGCAAAAACAAAATGATAAAAATGAAGTCATTAGATATAAAGCGCGACTTGTGGCACAAGGGTTTTCCCAAAGGCTTGAAATTGATTATATGGAGACATATTCTCCTGTAGTGGATGCTATCACCTTTAGGTATCTCATAAATATGGCAGTGCAAGAAAAACTTGATATGCATCTAATGGATGTTGTTACAACCTATTTGTATGGATCATTAGACAACAAAATTTTTATAAAAGTACCCGAGGGATTTAAAGTGCCAGAAGTATATAAAAGTTTTCGAGAAACTTGTTCAATAAAGCTTTAGAAATCTTTATACGGATTGAAACAATCAGGTCGTATGTGGTACAATAGCCTGAGTGAATACCTGTTGAAAGAAGGGTACAAGAATGATCCAATTTGTCCTTGTGTCTTTATAAAAAGGTCTGGATCTGAATTTGTTATAATCGCCGTGTATGTTGATGATTTAAATATCATTGGAACTCCTGGGGAGCTTCCAAAAACAGTAGACTGTTTGAAGAAAGAATTTGAAATGAAAGATCTTGGAAAGACAAAATTTTGTCTTGGTCTACAAATTGAGTATATGAAAGATGGAATATTTGTCCATCAATCAACATACACCGAAAAGATTTTAAAGCGATTCTATATGGATAAAGCACATCCATTGAGTACCCCGATGGTTGTGAGATCACTTGATATAAAGAAAGATCCATTCCGACCTCATGAAAATGATGAAGAGCTTCTTGGTGCCGAAGTACCATATCTTAGTGCAATTGGGGCATTAATGTATCTTGCCAATAATTCCCGACCAGATATAGCTTTCTCAGTAAGCTTATTGGCAAGATTTAGTACTTCGCCAACACAAAGACACTGGAATGGTATTAAACATATATTCAGATACCTCCAAGGGACCATTGATATGGGTTTATTTTATTCAAATGAATCCAAGCCATCATTGATTGGTTATGCAGATGCAGGATATTTGTCTGATCCACACAAAGGTCGATCTCAGACATGCTATTTATTTACAAGTGGAGGTACAACCATATCATGGCGTTCGACAAAACAAACTATGGTTGCTACTTCTTCAAATCATGCAGAGATAATAGCCATTCACGAAGCAAGTCGAGAATGCGTTTGGTTGAGATCTATAATCAACACATTCAGCAAACATGTGGTCTTTCTTCGAAAGAGAATATTCCAACAATATACATAACTCAATTGAAAGGAGGATATATCAAAGGAGATAGAATAAAATACATTTCACCGAAATTCTTTTTCACTCATGATCTTCAGAAGAATGGTGAAATAGATGTACAACAAGTTTGTTCAAGTAATAATTTGGCTGATCTGTTCACTAAGGCATTACCAACCTCAATATTTGAAAAGCTGATATATAAGATTGGAATGCGTCGTCTTCGAGACATTAAGTGATTTTTCATCAGGGGGAGTAACTACACGCTGCACTCTTTTCCTTAACCAAGGTTTTGTCCCACTGGGTTTTCCTGGTAAGGTTTTTAATGAGGCAGCAAACAATGCATATTATAAATAACTATGTATATCCCAATATTTTTTTTGTAAGTTCTTAATGAGACACATTATCTTACATAGACATCCAAGGGGAGTGTTATGAATAGTTTGTACATTGGATGCCCATGTTGTGAATAATTTAAAGATTATATCTCCTACTTTATGTCCATCATCTTTACTTTTTATGCCTATAAAAGGTCATTTGCAATGGAAAGATACACTAAAGTGAAAGAATAAAAGACTGTATCTCTTCTTATTTACATTTTAGTCCCTTGCTTTTATTTTATAATACTTCCTTAATTATAACATTTTTGCCTGGCAAAAGAAACCAGTCACTTTGTCAGATCTCATCAGACAAGACTACAGGTGCACTTCGCCTGTTTCATTTGTCACAAGATCACCTCTTTAAGTCCTATATTGTACTGAGAGAGACATAAGGACACTGTTCACTTCAAATTATAGAAATACCAGCCCTCTCTCTGTCTAAGAAGCTCACCTCCTTCAATGGAGGATGCTTACGCCCGATCTGTCGCTGAGGTATTCTCAATTGTACCATTTCTGCTTAAACTGGATTCTCTCAAGACCCAATTTTTATAACAATGCTGCGATTCCATTTACAGGTTCTTGAATTCTTTGGCGTGGATCCAACTAAAGGTCTTACGGATATACAGGTTCATATATTTAATAAGCTTACTGCTTCATCAATTTTTGTTTATTTCAGTACAATTACAAACAACAACTATTACTCTTAATCTCAAACTAGTCGGGATGTGCTGTATGAATCCTCTATAATCATTTTACTCCAATTGGAACCCCTTTCATTTCAATACCGCAGTAATGCTGTATAAAATGATTCCTTTTCCCATCATACATGTATCTTTGTCTTTCTTCAGCCGTGGTTAGGAAATGAGTTTTTTTGGGTTGTGATGTAATTCTTTTTCTTTTGTTTCCCAGGTTACACAACACGCCAGATTATATGGCAAAAATGGTAATCATTCTCTTCCATTTACTTCTCATGTGCTATGCCTGCATATTGGGGAATATTTCTGGGATCAGTATCTTGTATAGTGTAAACAAATATAAGTTACAGTACTCTGTTGTGTCCTATTTTATCGCATACTTAATTGGCTGTGCTGCACGCATTATTGCCATCTTGTAAAACTATTGTTTTTGTGAAGTATGAGTTCACAGGAACGAACTCAGGACCAGAATATGTGTAATTTGACTCCATTGTGCCCTTAAATTCAGTAAGCGGAACATTATAGGCATGTGCACACTTTAATTATAGCATACATTGTGCTAGCGGGAGTTGGTCTTAGGTTTGTGGGCATTCTGTTGATGTAAATTCATAGAATCTGTAGAGATTCCTTAGCCAGGTCTTTTGAGAAGGAAAAAAGGTTCCTAGAATTAGAATCTTCTAGTTTAGTAAATTTAACAAGATTAGTGCTAGTTGCTCTGATGGTAAGCAACCTCCACTTCCAACCAAGATGTTGTGAGTTCGAGTCTCCTCAAGAGCAAGGTGGGAAGTTTTTGGAGGGAAGGATGCCGGGGGTCTATTTGGAAACAGCCTCTCTACCCCAGGGTAGGGGTAAGGTCTGCGTACACACTACCCTCCCAAGACCCATTAAGTGGAATTATACTGGGTTGTTGTTGTTGTTGTTAGTGCTAGTTTTTTATAAGTTCATACTACATCCAAGAGATTTAGGTTCCTAATGTAATTATGATGCTTAGGTAGCTATCATTTCTAAACTGCATTGTAATTTTTGGCTAATGACAGAAAACAATTGATGAGCTGATTATGCAGCTAGCTCGATTTGGGTGTTATAGCGGGTATAGGATGTGGAGAATAAAATGAAGTGTTTGGATCCAAGAGTTATGAGGCCACAAAATGTTATAGTGTTAATGTTCTTTTTTTCTTAACTAACAGCGGTGTCTGGCCAGCTCGCCTCGATTCCCACCGGATACCTGCTATCCTCTACTAGAACATGCATGTGGTAATTTTGTTTGTAAAGAAAGAGGTCGTTAGGCCTAACTCAACCCCAAAGCTAGCTCATGAGGTTAGGATTGTCCAAGATCATATAAGGGACCAAATATTCCACATCACACTGATGTGGGACAACTCTATACCCCTCCCCACGCATGCCCGGGCCTGCCAATTGGAGCTTAGACAACATAATATGGAGACCCAACATTGAGTAAACCAAGAATTAAGATGGGTGTAGCTTTGATACCATGTAAGGACCTTGAGTTTAACTCAACCTAAAAAGCTAGCTCATGAGGTGAGGATTGTCCAAGATCATATAAGGGACTAAATTTCAGGTCCCACCGATGTGGAGCAACTCAACACTACCCACCAAGACCAAGGATTAGGCATATGGAAGAAATCGCATAGCATAATAACATTTGAGCCTTGGGTTTCTATGATTTTTCTTCCACTTCATTGACCATCGGGTCATATCCTTGGGTGCATATTATTATCATTCTTTGAGACAGCGAGGGCATGTTTTGCACTGCCTTATGATTCTGGATGGGATGTCATGAATACAGTAATGTTCTAATGGGCAGGGTGAGACAATGTTTATTTCAGGAGAGGCCATTGTGATAACCCTAAACTGTCATTCAATTTTCTATTCTTTGTTTCTGACACAATAAGAAATGTTTTTTTCTCTTTCTAATTAGTATCTATGGTGATAAGTTTTCCCTTCAACACAAATGATAAGTTGAATTTGTTAATAAGTTATAATTTTGATAATTGTGCATGGGATTGTTTCATATTACTATATACATGCTTATCAGTTCCTTGATTTTTGTCTTCTCTGATATCAATTTTCTCTTTGGTTGCATGTTCCATGAATGTTCTTAGTGCTGCCTCAAGAAAAAAGTAAGTTCTTTCGCCTTCCTCTCTCCCCTTCTTTGTCAGATACATACAATTAGGTGGCATCTAAAATAGGGTAAAAGATAAACATGCATAGTCAATAAGCTAACTTCTGTTTACTTATGGAGATTTTATTCCTGTGTTTCATTTAATTACTTTTAATAAACATCTAGATTTTTGATGAACAAGTAGCATTCGTGAATAGAGAGGACGAACAGAGAAAGCTCTTGTTGAATTGATACAAGAGAGCTTTTTCTAGAGGAGCATACAGTACACGTGATAAAAAATGTTTCTAATTAACGGTATTCTTAATTACTCAACACAATTATAGAGCTGACCCAAAGGCTTAAGCCAAATTGGTCATAAATAAATTACCAGGTTAATCAATGTCACTGTTATGCTGTAAGTGTATTTCCTGATAAATGACAAACAAGTGTTTGGTTCCAAAATCAATAGCAAAACTCCATTTTCTTTGTGGACAAAGTAGATATTCACATTTTGTAGGCCACCGAGTTGATGCTTTCATGATTAAATCTCAAGAGAACCCATTTCAAAAGAATATCTCAAGAGAATAGAGCGAACCTGCTGTTCAAAACACCTTCTATTCCCCTCTTTCCTTGCTATCCATGCTATGCATAAAGGTTTAATTTCCTTAAACTTCTTTCATTTTGGTGCTGATAGAATGCAGAAAGATTTGCAGTAAAGTAAGCATTTTATTGATCTGCTCCAGTTCTAATCATTACATTTTCCTCTGAACTTAATGTCGCTACCATTTTTATGATTCTGAGCTATCAGGCCCTCAGGACAGTGTTTTGGATAGCGTGCAGCGACAAATAGCGACGAGGGCCCGCTTCACTGAGGCGAGAGGCGCGCAACGAAGCGCTCGCCTTTTTTATGTGAAGCGACAATTTATACAAAACATAAAATATTATATACATATAACTAAAAACTCAATAACAATAATATATTAATAAATATATCAGTCAAAAATTAAAGACTCAATAGATAGTCATAGACTCATAGTAGATTCATAACCTAAAGTCTAATAGTCTAAACTCTAAAACAAGCAACATCTATTCTTCTATAATTGAAAGAATAGAGCAACAAATCAGAGCAAACAATAGATAAGAGCAAAGAAAAACAGAGCAAAGAAAGAAAGAATCAAAGAAAGAAAGAAAAAGAAAGAAACAACAGAGCTACTGCCTCTGCTCGATGTCCAAAAACAGAACCCAAAAATAAAATAAAGCTCTGGTCGAGAAACAGAGCAAAGAAAGAAAGAAATAAGAAGAAAAACAGAGGAAAGAAAGAAGAAGAAAAACAGAGCTGAAAGAGAAGAAGAGAAAGAAGAAAGAAGAAAGAAGAAAGAAGAAAGAAGAAAGAAGAAAGAAGAAAGAAGAAGAAGACAGCAATGGTGGTCGACCAGAGCTGAAATAGAAGAAGAAGAAAGTAGAAGAAGAAGAAAAGAAAAGAAAGTAACATACCTGAAGTGGTCGCTGATGGCTGATGATGGAAGAAGAAGAAGATGTGAAACCCAAGCCCTAATTTTGTCGCTGAAGGAGAAGAAGTGGTCGCTGCTCGGAAGAAGTGTAACCCAAGCCCTAATTTTTGTGTTTTAGTATAAATCGCTGCCTTTTCTTCCATTATTTTCAAATAGCGACGCTTCGCATCGCCTCTCGCTACACAGGCAGAGGCGCTCGCTTTTCTTTTTCGCATCGCAACAGCCCAGAAATGGCGACACTGTCTCGCCTCGCATCGCTACATGCTTTTAGCGCTGTAGCGCTCGCTATTTACAACACTGCCTCAGGATTCTTTGGAAATCTGTATAGATCTTGAAATCTCTCCTGAGTGAAAGTGTCCGAAATTCTAACATCAGATCAAAATATGACTCTATTGCAACCCCTACTATCAAGCTGTATTCTGGAAGATTTCTCCCATCCTTTGCATCAACAATTCTTTTCTCCCATTCTTTGTTGATCCATCTCCATAGGCTCACTCCTCAAAATGTGGTTATTGCCTTATTGGTTAGGGGTCCATATCCTTCCATTCCGATAATTTGGTCTGAATTCAGCTTTTCGTTTGCCATAGCAAAATCCCCATGGCCACTTCCCAAGACAACTTCGTATCGTGGTGTTTTAAGTGTCTGATGCCCATCTCCCTTCCTATGGCAGTCACAGTGCTTTTTCCACCTTACAAGAATTTTCCCTTTTTCTTTTCTTTCTTTTCAAGAAGATGCTTCTGATTTTGTCTAATCATTTCTCCCGTTTTGCTGAAATTGTGAGTGAAGCAGGCAGTGGTCCAGAATGGTACTCAACTGCCTGTTTATCTAAGTCAGCCTGTCTAGGTAATGCATCCTTCGGGTAGTTAAGATTCTTTCAGATTTTTTACCACTCTACACCATACACTTTGCTTTTATGTTTTGCACCTAATGGCATGCGTGATGTACCAATCTTAAATCCTGGTATCCATGTGAGCTGTTGAATAATTGTGATGTTCCTCATAGAGGAAAAGCTACTCTTTTCGAAATCGACATGCAATTTGTAGGCTACTTCAAAGGCCAATAAGATACTCTAATATTGTTTAACTGATCATCCTTGTCTTCACGTGAAAACAGTGTGTCATCTGCAAAGTGGATGCTGGAAATCTGTACTTGCTCTCTTTGAAGCCAGTTGTCTACCCCATCCTTTCATCCTTATCAGTTATTCTACTAAGAGTATCCATCACAGTTATTAATAAGGGTGACGATGGATCTTGTCTAAGGCCTCTAGAAGATTATCGAAGCCTTCACCCTTGCCATTTAACAAGACGAGGACTTAAACAGTGCATTAATCCACTCAATGTCTCAATCTACTTTCACTTTTCATTTAAATCTAGAACTGAGATGAAGAAATTCCAACTAAATGTGGTCATAGGAATTTTCTATGTCCTGTTTTTTATGATCCCTCTATTTCCTTATATTTGTTGTCAATCTAGGTACTCATTTGCAATGAGGACTTAATTCGAGATTTCCCTTTCCTACGACAAAAAAATTCTGTGAATAATGAAGCTCGGCATAAAGGGCTCTTCAATTTTCTGTTTCCTAAATAGATCCCTTGATCTCCTTCTCTTTTTTTTTTCCAGTCTAGGTATTCATTTGCAATGAGAACTTAATTTGGGATTTGTCTCTCCTGCGACAAAAGCATTCCGTGAATAATGAAGCTTGGCATAATACCTTGCAGTCGGTTATTAATACTATCAAGCTTATTGGTTTAAAGACCTTTAGTTCCAAAGCCCCACTTTTCTTTGGGATAAGAGAAATAAAAGAAGCACTTAAACTTCTTTCAAAATTTCTTCTCCTTATATTGTTTCTGAAACATCTCTCAATGTTCCAGCATTTATGTAAAATACGAACACCAATCTGAATCTATCAGGGCTAGGGGCTTCTAGATCGCACTGCTCTCTCCACTTCACAAAAGTGAAACTCCATATCCTGTCCTTCTTTATGATATTACTGATTCCTAATCCCGTATCCTACAACATTATCTTTGTTGAATTGTGTGACTAACTAAAAGCTTACGCTTTTTATTACTTTATTATATCTTCAGCACGCCCCCTCGCGTACGGGTTTGATTCTTTTATATGAGCCAAGCACGTAAAAATTCTTTGTAATAATGGATGGGGGTGAGATTCGAACCCAGGACCTCTACCTGTTCTGCTACCAGGCTGAAGTGTGTGACTATTGCATCTAGAAGGTTAAGCTGTTAAGAGAGCACATTTTTAATTACTTAATTGTATCTTCAACAATCTCCATTCCTTTCAGCTATGGGGGAGTTTGCAGTGTTGTGTGAATATTATTCATTGAGTATGTAATAGAGTATCAGCCAGATTCAGGTGTTTCATGACCCACACCATGACATATTTAATGAACCGAAGCTATTGCTGGTTTCAACAATTCAATTGAGTTGAATAAAGTTCAGACATTGTGCTTATTAATAAAGAATTTTTTTTCTTCTGATAAGTAATAATTGCTACATTGTGGCTTAGTTCTGTCTATGTATTATCATTTCTTGCAGTCATTCCTTTCTGGAAGTTGGTGCTGAAGCAATTTGATGATTTGCTGGTTAAGATTCTAATTGCAGCTGCTTTTATTTCCTTTTCTTTGGCACTGGCTAATGGAGAGACGGTCTTATCAGCCTTCATTGAACCTTCTGTAAGCTAACTTGACTTCTCTTTCTTACTACCATTAGGGCACGGAGCAGGAGTACAATTTGGTGAAATTTTTCTTCTACCAAACATAACTGTCTAATGAATAAACTAACAATAGTGTGTCATACTGCTAGTAGAATGAAACGATGTTACCAAATTTAAGCTACTTATGAACATTTTAATGTATACTTTTTCATCAAACTTAAGCTACTTATGAACATTTTAATGTATACTTTTTCATCCTTGTTTGCTTCATGATTTTAGCACATGATGCACTTTTTGCTTATAGTATGAATAGCATCATTTTTGATTATCTAATAGTAGCAAGGAAAAAGTATGAATAGGAAGAGACTACGTGGCAAAAATAGCTCAGAAATAATAATTCAATATGTTACAGCGAACACGTTCTCCGTGTGATATCGATTAATCTAAAGAAAGTGTGTTACAAAGTGCGTAGAAAAGTCTTTTGGGGGTAATTTTGAAGAACAAAATTCGTTTCATTTTTGCAGTAACCTTCCTTTTACCATAATCACAAGTTATGTTTATAGGTTATCTTGATGATATTGGCTGCAAATGCAGCAGTCGGTGTGATTACAGAAACAAATGCAGAAAAGGCTCTTGAGGTGAGATATCCAGTTTAGTGTAAAAGTAGTTACATTGCTGTGTTAGCATCCTACTCCTTTAAGTTATTCTTTTGATTTCGGTCTCGTTTTACTAGGTTGAATTCTGTATCTTCTTGATCACATGTGTGCTCTTTCTTGTATATTCTGTCTTTTTGTCTTCTTTTCTTTTCCAGATCATTTTCCACAAGAGAGGATGCATAAAGTTAATTTAGAAACTAGTAGCTTAACATCTTATTTCATTTGTATAGAGGACTGGGCCTCTTTTGTTGAGAACCATATTTTGGTGTAGGTTCTCTTCTTTTTGTTTTACGACTTGTATACAGGGTTTCCCCCTATTGTTAATAAAATTATTTACCTTATCAAAAAAGGGAACATCTTATTTCATTTTCCGCGTCAGTAATTTCAGTTCTTATTATATAAGACAAGATAAGCATCACATCCTCATGTTACTACAAATTATCATGTCTCATCCAAACGCGATCCAACTGGTCCTTCGGTACAACAATTTGGTGTGTGTACTGTAGTATTTTCCTTGTCATGACTTTGTTCCAGTGATAAATTATTTATGGGAATTGATAGAGAATGCTTCACTTGTCCCTGATCGGTTGTGTAAGGTTTTCGAAGGGGTTTAAATAGTCTTGGGATATTCTACCCATTACATTAAGGTTTTGGGTTGAATGATCAGATTCTTTCACATGGTATCGGAGCTAAACTTTGGTGAGCCTGTTTGTACAGCTACTTCCTTCGCTCATGTTCTATTGCTTTTCGCTTCTCTCTCAACCTAACCCATGAAGTTGCTCTGGACTTCCCTCTCTCCCAAATCAGCTCGTCAAACCACTGACATCGCTCCAAGCCCCCGTTGTTGAGTCTAATATGTCTCCTACTCTAGGACCACTCTTGTTGAGCTTCTTCTCTCTCTGCCTCAAAAGAGAAAGTAAAAAGAATTCAAATCCACGTGTAAACCCTAGAATTGGGTGACATGCCAACATGCGGGAGGGTGTCCGAGAATACTACGCTTGTCCCTCATTGGTTATGCAAGTGTTTCCAAAGGAGTTTAAATAGTCTGGGCTACTCCACCCGTTGCCATAAAGTTTTTGATTAGATGCTCAGATTCTTTCACAACAATAATATAGCAAATTGTGCATTAAATCTTTATGGTTTGTATTCTCTTAAGATCTATAGAATAACTCGTACCTTGTTTTTGTTTTAGCTTCTGTAGACAGTAAAAGGTTGTTTGGTTCACATACTAGTTATCCAGGATTATAAAGCAGTGTGTTTATGTGGTGATTAATAGTTAAGGGATTGTTATGCGGTGATAAATAATGAAGGGATTATTACACAAGAATTAATTGCTTTAAAGGGCATTTTTGCCTTTAGATAGTTTAACGCCCATGTCACTTATACACATATCTTACTCTACATCCTATCCCCCATAAAATAATACATAGATTCCCGCCTAACTTAATGCGGGTATTGTTTAATACAACCAACCAAATGTTGCATTAAGTATGAGGCCATTATTTTTTCTCATGCAGCCAGCCAAATGCTAATTGAGTTGTGCTTCGATTATGTTTTCTTATGCGACCAACCAAACACTATTATTTTACGCGGGGATTAATTATGCCTATACAATCAACCAAACGACTCCTAAGTTGTTTGGGATGCTTTTTATTGTTACAGTTTTCTTCACACAGTTAAACTTTTCGTTTAAACGAAAAGTTATAGATTTTTTTATGTGATTTATTGTTGTTGTTGTTGTTAAACTTTTTGTTTATGTGATGTTATAGATTTGGCACATTATGGTAAAGCGCTTGACCATTATTCTCTTGTGTAGATCTTATCAAAGTTTCTGCTGCTGCTGATCTTCACCTTCTTTTTGTGAAAAATTTCAAATAGTTATAGTTTTGATTTAACACTATCCATTTGGGTAGCGTTTACTTGTTAATATTGAGCTGTAATAGGTGAGTTTCTATTTAATCCATCTTTCTACCTATTCTTGGCATATACCTTTTAAATTGTTGATTTCTGTTCTCTCCCTATTAACCCCTGGCAGTAACAACCTCTTTCCATTTAGCAAAAAATCCACCGTTCATGGTCATACTAGCAACTTTTGTTTTACAAAAGATCCCAAAATGGATAAATTACATGCTAAATGGTTTTTGGTTGTGCTCATTGTTATTTTGATTGAGCTACATAAATATGCTATGATATCGATGTACGAACTAGATATTCCTAATTAACAAAAAGAAAAAGATAAGGTGCAAACTAATCTAGTCATTTTTTAAAATGTCATGGTATCACTGTCCCTTGATCATTAGTGTTTGGCATTTTGACTATCTATGTTTACATGGAGGAAAATTATGATTTTCATAAAATGTATCAGTTTTTGTAGTTGTTATGATCTGTCTTGTCCATTGTTTGCTCTTGAAATATTTAACTCACAAGTTGTTTCCTAATTGCAGGAATTACGTGCATACCAAGCTGACATTGCCACTGTCCTGCGCAATGGTAATTTGACCTTCCCCGAGTATTGAATCCTCTTATCAATTGGTGAAAGTTATTTTTTTGTTAGTAGTGCTTATGGGTGTTCCTTTAAGCCTCTAATCTGATTCTGATCCTGTTCATTGTGTCTCTTTCTTTTGGCTTACATATTTTATGCTTAATGGGTGTAAGCTGCATTTATGTAAGACAAAATTCAATCGCATAAAATAACTTAAAGTGGTGCTCGATTACCTGTATCCTTATTGTACTTCATATATTGGTTTTATGATCTTTGATATTGTAAAGCATGTGCCACATAGTCTTTATTTTTGTTGTCTATAGCATTCGTGATTCTGTATCTTTTTATTAGGTGAAATCCACATTTTGACTTTATTGTGAGTAACAGTTTATAGATGTGCTAATGCACAATTTATTTAGGCTGTCCAAAGCTTTTCACAGTCTCTTTTGTATTATTCTATGTCAAGGATTAGACTACAAACTCAAATAATTTTTCATCTTTAGAGAAATTGAAAAAGGAATTTAGAAAATCGGCCTGTCATTGGTAGGAGTTCTGACTCAAAGTTGATTAGAAGGTCCTGAAGAAAAGTGAACTGCCATTGCCCAAAAAGAAAAAAAAATAGAAAAGGAAAAATAAAAATCAACAAAAGCTGTATTTTATTATGACGACAATGTTGAGGTTAGGGGGGTGAATTAGATTGATAGAGATAAAGTAAGTAGTTGGAGGGAGCACTCTGAATGTCATTAGCGCTTACGCGCAGCAAGCGGGCTTGGACGAGGAAGTTAAAAGACGCTTCTCGAAGGGGTTGGATGAGGTGGTGTGGCGTACTCCGCCTATGTAAAAGTTATTTATAGGAGAGGATTTCAATGATCATATTGGGTCGTCTGCTTGGGGCTCTGACGAGGTGCACAATGGCTTTTGCTTTGGGGTTGTGCGAGGATTGTAAGGTGATCCCGAGTGAGAACCTCGCGACTCAACATAGGCTCCTCGTGATGGATGTTGGTATCTTGATAAAGAGGAAGAAGAGGTTTGTACGGGGTCAACCGAGGATCAGGCGGAGAGTTTTAACTAAGGATAATGCACAGGAGTTGGAGAGGCGGCTGACGGCTATGGCAGCTTGGTAGAGTGGTGGGGATGCTCGCGCTATGTGGACGGCGACGGAGGACTGTATAAGGGAGGCGGCGAGGGAGGTGTTAGGGGTCTCGAAGGGTTACTCTAACCGGCACCGAGGAAACTGGTGGTGGAATAACGTGGTCCAAGGTAAAGTGGAAAAGAAAGCAGCGTACCTTAAGCTAGTGGAGAGCACCGACGATGAGCAAAGGAGAGCGAATAGAGTAAGATATAAGGTAAGTAGGAAGGAGGCGAATTTAGCGGTCACAGAAGCTATGACTGCTGCGTTTGGTCGGTTGTATGAGGAGATGGGGGCAAATGTGGGGATAGGAAGTTATTTAGGCTGGCTAAAGCAAGAGAGAGGAAGGCTTATGACCTGGATCAAGTGAGGTGCATCAAAGGTGAGACAAGTTGAGTATTGATGGAAGAGACCGAGATTAAGCAAATATGGCAGACGTACTTTTATAAACTTCTGAATGAAGAGGGGGGACGATAACATCATGCTAGGGGAATTGGGGCACTCCAAGAGTCACCGAGACTTTAGGTAGTGTAGCTGTATTAAGGTTGAGGAGGTCGTGGGAGCTATGCGTAGATGAGTTGGGGCGAAGCGATTGGACCAGTTGAGATTCCAGTAGAATTTTGGAGGTATGTGGGTAGAGCGGGCTTGGAGTGGCTGACCGGGGTGTTTAATGTTATTTTCATGACAAAGAGGATGCCAGATGAGTGAAGATGGAATACGATGGTTCTGCTGTACAAGAACAAAGGTGATATCCAAAATTGTAACAACTAACAACTATAGGGGCATCAAACTACTAAGTCATACCATGAAAGTTTGGGAGAGGGTGGTGGAAGGGAGGGCGATGTATATATCAGAAAGCTAGTTCGGGTTTATGCCAAGCCGTTCTACTACGGTAGCTATCCACCTTATTAGGAGGTTGGTGGAACAGTATAGGGATAGGAAGAGGGATTTGCACATGGTGTTTATTGACATAGAGAAGGCGTATGATAAGGTCCCTAGGGACATGCTTTGGAGAGGCCTAGAGGTGTGGAGGCCGAGCATTAGGGTTGTAGGCTAGGGGGTAGTCGAACGTTTTTCCTCTTTGTACCGGCTAGTCTGATAGAGTTGTGTATAGGACTGCTAACAGTTTATGTTTTAACACCATTTTTGTGTTATTGCCCTTCCATTTATTTGCTGTCTTTTATGATACTGATCTTATTTTTCTGGTTTCGTGTATTGTTACGGATCTATTTTTTTGTTCTTTTCTGATATTATTGTCTCTTCTGTTGAGCCTATAGTCTCCCGGAAATAGCCTCTCTACCCCTCCGGAGTAGGGGTAAGGTCTGCGTACACTCTACCCTCCCCATACCCCACTAGTGGGATTCTACTGGGTTATTGTTGTTGTGATGTTGCCTTGCTTTGTGACTCCATATGAAATCTATATGTCATCCTGGAATCCAATCTAGTACATAGAGACATGGAATTGTGAAATCCCTTTCTTACTGCTAAATAAAGCCTTGGAAGATTTTATTTATCACTTTCAGTCATTTCCTTTTTATGTCCTTGGTATGACTATTAGCATTTTCGACATATCCTGCTCAAATATCGTGTGAAATTGATCTGTCAGGTTGTTTCTCCATATTACCTGCAACGGACCTTGTCCCTGGAGATATTGTAGAAGTGAGTGGTATGTTAAGTCTTTTAGGGTTATCAACTGGAAAATTGTATAACATTGTTATACTCATTCTCTTTTTATTTTGTACTAAACTTTTCTTTTCGACCTTTCCATGAAATGTGAAGTTGGGTGTAAAATTCCAGCTGATATGAGAATGATTGAGATTTTGAGTGATCACTTACGTGTTGATCAGGCAATTTTAACAGGTACACTTGTCCCTATAGATGATAATTTTCTTCAATTTTCCTTGCAGATTAATGAAAGTTGACCTTCCATTACCATTTGTTTGTCAGGAATGCATGAAAACACATCATATAAAGAATTCACAAATAATGTGAATATAGTGAACTCTTTAACAATTAATAATCTTGGGAGGCTAGAATTTTTCTTATTTGTTTATTATAATATTCCCAGATGTACCTGCATAAATAAAAAAAAGATGATCAATGATAATTTCGTCACAAACAACTTATATTTTATAGGAATTGTATATTTCTAAGACCTTATGCTACAAAATTGACATTAAAGTCATCAAAATAACAAATTATTTTGTGTTATTGACATTAATCTTAATTAATTACATAGCTGTTAATACTGAATTGATTACAGTCATAACTAAAATTTTAAAGATGTAAGCAAATTTTCTTAAAAATTATCAGTTATGAGTTATGAGTTATCAACTATTAGGTGCTAGAAATACTAATTATACAACAACAATAACAAACCCACTGAATTCCCACAAGTGGGATCTGGGGAGGTGGTGTGTACGCAGACCTTATGGGAGAGCAGAGAGGCTATTTCCAATAGACTCCTTGGGCTAAAAAAGATGAAAAAAAGTAGTGGCAACAAGAAGCAAAAACAACAAGATATTATGAAAACCCAAACGAAAGATAGCAATCAAAGAGTAGGTAGTAATAGCAATCTATGAATAAAAGATACTATACTAACACTAAAACTACCGGTGCGGGAAACGAAAAGTAAAATGCTTGACTACCTACTAACTTTCTACCCTAATTCTTGACCTCCACACCCTCCTATCAAGGATCATGTTCTCCGTAAGCTTAAGCTGTGCCATGTTCTGGCTAATCACCTTTCCCCAATATTTCTTTGGCTTACCTCTACCTCTCTTCATACCCACCAAGGTCAACCTCTCACATCTCCTAATTGGGACATCTTTGCTTTTCCTCTTCACATGTCCGAACCATCTTAATTAATTGTTGAAGGGAGAGAGAAGGGAATGGGAACCTAAGGGTATGACCTAGTGGTCTATGAAGCTGGAGGAGAACCATGAGATCCCATAAAAAAAAACTAGGTGATTTCTTTTGATCTACCTAAGCTTTGGTAGCCAGAGTTAACTCGACACCTTTGTAGGTAACAAGTACCCGGTGGAAAAGTCGACTGCCGTCATAAAGCAAAACTTTATTAATGATGGAGGGTTGCTTACTTCGGAATATTACTTACTATTGTATGGGAAACCTAGTAGTGTATGTTGTTCTTTTCATTTCCAAAAAAAAAAATTTACTATTGGAGTGCCAACATCCTCGTAAAAAGGAACTATTAGAGTGCAATATGTAAACCCTTCCTTTGAATACTCAGAGTTTGTAGGTGTTATATCTACTAATTAAATGATGCTTCAAGTTTTATGTTCTCAAACTAAACTGTTTCACTGATAACATGAGATTTTGACTGGAAAGTAAAAGTGTATCAGTTCTATCAATCACTATACTTTTTTTTTTTCTGCTATTGAGAGTGTATATAGAAGCTGATTAGAGATCTTCATTGTAGGCTCTTTAGGTCCTTTCCCTGTCTTTTATTTTTCTTATGCCATCTTCTGTATCTTCTGATGACAGGTGAGAGCTGCTCTGTTGAAAAAGAGCTTGATGCAACAACTGCTACAAATGCAGTATACCAGGACAAGACAAACATCCTCTTTTCTGTAAGTTACTAAAACCAGTCCTGTGGAGTATACTATGTAAAGGGAGCTTAGAGCATGAATTTCTTAAAATGGTACATCATGCTGATGTCATTGACCATGTAATGTGGGAGATGATAATACTGTCACTTGATTTATTCAGCCTGAAGAATGGTTAGCTTTTCATGTTTGATTTAAAAATTAGAAGTATTTGCGAGTGAACTTGCTATTGGTTGAAGCAGCAGATCCTTGAATTTGTGGGATGCTAAAGAGTGCTGAGATTTACCTTTTTTACTTAAGAGACATGTCAAAAGGTCGAAAACTCTTGTAGATATAGAGACCCTGAACAGTTTGCTTATATAAGATGACTTTAGAAGTCTAATGTCTTTTTTTTGTGTAAAATGGGAATATTGATGACTTGCTTTGGGCTTGGTAAGTTTGCATCTTCTTCCCTGGTCACAAGCTCTTCCACTTTTCACCATTTGTAGGTTTTGTGGTATTAACTACTATCTTGAATCTTCTTCCCATTTGTGACTTTCTCTTTTTCTGAAATTATTCTTAATAATTATTGTTATTACTAAAAATCATTGTTAACTTCAAATAAGTTCGTTCAAAATCTATAGTATTTATTTAGAAAAATGAAAGTTCTCACACTTGGAGATTTCTCCTTATCAAAAATAAAAATAAAAAATGAAATTTTGATTCTGGATGATAGACTGCTCCACCCCAAAAAATCTGGATGATAGACTGAAAATTGATCAGTTAACCCTCATAAAGTTTTGGGATGAAAGAATTGGTAGACATCATTTAGAACCTGCAACTGAATAAAGATGATGGAAAACAATTAACTTCTGGTTATAATGTCAAAGACATTTCTTTTGTTATATGTAATAACTATTTCTTCAGAAACTTGTTTTTAGTATGTTGTTTTAGCCATAGCTGGCTGCTTAAAATAGTTTTCGAACATGGCAATGTGATAAATTTCTGTTTTGATGGCCAGGGCACTACAGTGGTCGCTGGAAGGGCAAGAGCTGTTGTTATTGGGGTTGGATCTAATACTGCAATGGGCAGTATACGTGATTCTATGTTGATGACGGAAGATGTGAGCTTTATACGTTGACCCGTAATAACAATATCCTTTGTTTTGGTATAACAGTGATTTGCTGTCTTGTTGTTGCAGGAGGCGACACCATTGAAGAAAAAGTTGGATGAATTTGGTACTTTTTTGGCAAAGGTGTGTATATTTATTTCCTTTCCAGATACAACTTCTGAGATGATTTTGTTATTCCTAGATTTTACCTTGATGTAAAAACCTGTAGATTGAACCCCCTCAACCTCTTGCTTTTTTACTTCTTATGTACAGTTTTAAATAAAAGCCCTGCTCCCAGTTGTGCACTATGCATAAATGAGTAGGATTTATTGTCTTAGTTTCAGGATATTTATATGACCTGGTATGATTATTTCTGTTGCTAATTGTGAGAGTTGAAACATACAATGGAGAAGGATTGAGAAATGTATTGCTTGATAATTTTCTAAGGTAGTGTATGTTTAAATAATACATACACTTATTCTAAACTAGGAAAGAAATCAAGGCTACATAATTACAATTAAACTAATATATCCATAATCGATTCTAACTAATGTACTGAATACTCTCAACACTTCCTCGCAAGCTGGTGCATACAAGTCATATGCACCCAAGCTTGTCACAAAGGTAACTAATTCGATGACCAGTAAAGGACTTGGTAAAAATATCTGTAAACTGATTGTTTCACGTCACAAACTTATGACAATGTCTCCTGAGAATATCGTCTGACAAGTAACAGCCGATCTCTATGTGTTTAGTTCTCTCATGAAACATCGGATTCTACGCAATATGAATAGCAACTTGATTATCTCACACAAGTTCCATCTAACTGATTTGTTCAAACTTCAATTCTTTAAGCAACTGCTTGATCTAGACTAGCTTTCAGGTTGCCACAACCATTGTGCGATAGTCTACTTTTTCACTATATCGAGCAACCACACTATGCTTCTTGCTTTTCCAAGACACGACATTACCTCGAATGAGAGTTCAATATCTAGAAGTAGACCGTCTATCAAATGGTTATTCTGCCCATCTGCATCTATATATCCATCAATCTACTCGTGTTATAGATCCTCGAAAAGCAATCATAAGGCTGATTTTATTGAAGAACACATACAACTACATCCAAATGAATGTTGCTTGGGGAGTCCATAAACTGAATTACTACACTCACTTGAAAGGCAATGTCATGTTGAGTCGATATGAGGTAATTTAGCTTATCAACCAACCGCCTAGACCTTCCAGGATGGATCATTACAGGGCTTCCCCACTCTTGGCAAAAGCTTAGCATTTGGATCCATAGGAGTATCCATGGGTCTACAATTTGTCTTTTTTCGTTCCTCAAGAATATTCGGAGCATACTTATATTGTGAGATGACAATTCCTGATTTGGACTGAGTGGTCTTCAATGCCTTGGGAATACTTAATTTGCCTAGATCCATTCTCTGGAAGTGTTGGCAGATCTTCAATTTGCTAATACCATTGTCACGACCCAATATCCCATATAGGCCGTGATGGCGCCCAACGTTGCCGCTAGGCAAGCCAACACGGAACTAGTCATGTATTTACTCTTTTTAATAATTTCAAAGTAGTTGATTTTTATTTATTAAGGAGATGAGAAGTGGAAAAATATAATGAAGTGGAAACTAATGAAGGAGCAAATATAGTGAAATAACTACTCAAAACCATAATGTGCCTACTAGCATGTTTCCAAAACCCGGTGTTATAAGTGTATGAGCAACTAGTAGAATATACAAAATACCTATGCTACTGTCTGAAATAAAATAGACAGAAAGTAAATACAAAGAGAGACTGCGGGCGTTGCAGAACGACCGTAGAGAGTAGCTCACTAATATGCCTCGAGGTAACAGGAGTGCGCGCCTGAATGACTGCCATATGCACCTGTCTCTAATCCTGCACGATTAGTGCAAAAGTGTAGCGTGAGTATATAAACAATATGTACCCAGTAAGTATCTAGTCTAACCTCGAAGAAGTAGTGACGAGGGGTCGACATCGACACTTACTATGGGCCAACAATTTAAATACAGAAATTCTAAATAGGCAGGGAGTAAGTGAGCAATAATAACACAATAACAAGTAGTGAGTTAATGATTCTTTAACTGATAATCAATTTAAAAGTCTCCAATTGCCACCTACTAACTTCCACAATTTCGGTCATTTAATAAATTGTAACCTCTCAAGCCATAAAATAATATCAAGTGTAGTCGGGCTCCGAGTATTATCGCCGACGATTTATGCCGAGCCCGATCCAAAATACTGTGTGCACTGCCGAGGGTCGAACGACACGAACCATAGATGCATCTTTTCTACTGCTGAGGCGAACGTCCCGCTCCCATGAGAGTAGAGACGTTTACCTCGCTCGCGGAAGTACTTGCGACGCGAGAGGGCATGGATTTCTCAGAGTTATTACGTATTCCTCAATTCTTCCAAAAATAAGAAATCTAAATCGAAAATTTGCAACTTTAAAAACCCTAGTCTGAGCTCTATTCAAGACAATTAATATGCATAATAAACACAATAATACAATTAAATGCATGATGTGGATCTAAGACTATCCGGACATATCATGGAATATAGCTACGCACGGACTCTCGTCACCTCATGCATACGTAGCTCTCCACACAAGCAATACACAATAAAGGTACACCTAAGGGGATAAGTTCCCTCTTACAAGGTTAGGCAAGAGACTTACCTTGTTCTCAAGCTCACTTCCGGTCTACAAATCCGCTCTAAAGCCTCAACTTGGTGCCAATAAATCCGAAACTAGCCAAATGTTATATAAATTAATCAATATACACTCACAAGTTCATAATTTAGCTATTAGAGTAATTACCCAACCTAAATTGAAGATCCCTAAAATTCACCCTCGAGCCCACGTGCCCGGATTCCGGAAATTTTCGAAGATAAATGTTACTTATAATTTCACGAACTCAAATATATAACTTCTACCCAATTCAATAATCATTTTCGTGGTTAAATCTCATTTTTATCATAACCTAGGTTTTTCAACTAAACTTGAAATTTCCACAATTTTACATGTTAAAATCTACCCACAATCTATGTATTAAACTTGCATTGGGTAAGAATTACTTACCTTCAATGGCCAGGAGGAAACCCCTCTTCAAAGAGCTCTAAAATCGTCCAAGAAGTGAAAGAATTGAACCAAAATAGCCTAAGTCCCGACTTTAAATGAACTTAGTGCCTCAAGCGATTTCCGCTTCTGCGGAACATTTGGCCGCTTCTGCGGAGGTTGCATCGTAGATGCGGCCCTCCCCGGCTGGCCTCTTTCCGCTTCTACAATGCCTTCTTTGCATCTGCAACGCCTTCTTCGCCCGCAGATGCGATCGAGCCCTCGCACCTGCGTCACTGCTCCCTTCAGCTCTAGGCCGCTTCTGCGGGCCATTAACCGCTTCTGCGGCCGCGCACCTGCGCCTCCATGTCCACACATGCGGACTCAGCCCACACAGCCTAGCTTCGCACCTGCGGCTAGCCGGCCGCTTCTCCGGTGCCGTACCTGCGGTCTTCGCAGGTGCGAACGCACCAGAAGCCCTGCTGCTTCAGAAATTCTTCCTAGTCCAAACAAGTTCCGCGCATCGTCCGAGTAGCACCCGAGCCCCTGAGACCTCGTCCAAACATACCAACGAGTTCGAAATCATAAAACGGACTCGCTCGAATCCTCGGAACACGTGAAACAACATCAAAACTAAGGATTACACTCCAAACCAAATCAAATCAACTTATGAACTTCAAGATCTTCCAACTTACTCCGAACGCGCTAAATCATACTTAGACTACCCCGAACAACACCAAATTTTGCGTGCAAGTCTTAAATCACCATACGGAGCTATTCCCAGGCTCAAAATCCCATACGAACCTCGATAACACCAAAACCTACTCAAACCAAACTTAAAGAACTTGAAAACCTTCAGTGCGCCAACTTTCAATATTAAGCACCGAAACGCTTCCAGGTCATCCAAAACCTGATCTGAACATACGCCCAAGTCCAAAATCATCATACGAACCTATTGGGACCGTCAAATCCCGGTTCCGAGGTCGTTTACTCAAAACGTTGACTCAAGTCAAACTTAACTATTTTAAGCCACTATTAAGGAACTAAGTATTCCGATTTCAACCCGAACCCTTCCAAACCCGAATTAACCATCCCCACAAGTCATAAAATAGTAAAAGCACATACGAGGAGTCTTATTTAGGGGAACATGGATGTAGAAAGCAAAACAACCGGTCGGGTCGTTACAACCATCCTAATCATTGCTCATGATAACTATATCATTAATGTAAACTACCAAATAAATACACAGATGTGGACCAACATACCCGTAGAATATAGAATGAATAGCCTCATTGCAAGTCATATCTACCTCCTGATATAACCATGTTGAACTTACCAAACCATACTTGAGGAGATTGTTTCAAACCATATAGGGACTGATGCAACTGGTGTACAAGACCACTAGATTCCTCTTAAGTAATAAAACTGAGAGGTTGCTCCATATATACTTCATTCTCAAGATTGCCATAGAGAAAAGCATTCTTGATGTTCAATCGATAAAGAGGCCAATGACGAACAATATGGATAGAAATAGATGAACAAATGCAATTGTAGCCATGAGAGAATGTATTATTGTATTCAAGTCCAAAAATTTAAGCATTACCTTTGGCTACTAGATGTACCTTAATTCCATCAATTCTGCCAACTGGGCCAACTTTAACTGCATAAACCCATCGACAACAAATAGTAAATTTACGTAGAGGTAAAAGAACAAGTTTCTAAGTACCACTAGAGTGTAAAGCAGGTATCTCAATCATAGCCTATCTCCATTTTCGTTGAAAAGGTGCGAATGAAAATTGCAGACAATGCAAAGGTGCGAATGAGAACAACAAAGTGAGTTTGTATTTCAACACAAAAGGTCTGGATAATTGATACTTCGAATAATCTTTCATTAATGAATTCAAAGTATACCTTGAATAATCATCGATGAACTAACGAAGTAATGGAACCCCAAAGAAGAGCTGGCTCGACTAGGACCTAAACATATGAATGAACTAAAGAGAAAGAAGACTGCATGATTATCAAGGCAACGAGGGAAGGAAGCGTGAGTATGCTTACAAGTTGACATGACTCCTATTCTAAGGTAGACAAGTTACACAAATTAGAAAGAGACCAATGAGGATGTCCTAATTGTCCATGAAGTAACTCAGGAGAGTCGGAAATAAGACAAGCTGTGGTGATCTCGAAAGATTAAGGTTGTAAAGTCCTTGTGATTCGTGTCCAGTACCAATTTCTGTCCCTTACTACAATCCTGTATAACAACAGAGTTATTGAGAAAAGTAACGGAACTATTAAGAGACCGAGACAAATGACTTATGTATATTAATTTAAAGGGGCAACTAGGAAGATAAAGAAGTGAGTTTAAAGTCAAAGAGGGTAGTAAGAAAGCTTGACCTGCACTAGTTGCCATGGTTTGAGATCCATTGGCTAATGTAATAGCCAAAGAGATTGAGAATAAGAATTAGAGTAAAAAGAAATTTATTACCAAAAGTATGATATGAGGATCCTAAGTTAGTGATCCAAGGCTAAGTTGCTCTGACATGGCAATTTAGGTGTCGCACCCGTGTCGACACGACACTAGTATAGGTGTGGGTATGGGATCCGCACCGGATCTGGTCAAACAATTTTGAGTACTTTGACCACGACGGATGGAAAATTCAAGACGAGATACAATTGATTCCCGTAATTAGAACCAAAAGTACGGTAAATTGGAAGAAAATAGCATACCTTATCTAGGAAATCAATCCTTTACGTATCTACAACTTGAGAATAGAAAAGAAATCCACACTTTACAAGCTATACATAAGTATTCACAAAATTTCTCATAATTTAGAGATATCTTTATATTTTTGAATTATTTTTAGCCGACTCCTCGCACCTGTATTCGTACTAGGATCTGTATCCCCGAATCTTAGAATTTACATCTCACAGGATCCGACCTCTAGATCTGCACCCGTGTCGGATACCAGCACCCGTGTCCGAGCAACTTAGATCCAAGGTCCAATAATGTCTCATATGGGTGTATAGTTGGTATAATTTAGCTCTATGTAAATTTTGTCCTAACCTTTCGGATTTTGTCAGCTCTTTAGCTCTTGCTTAGAGCTTTTTTGTTTCATAGCTGACTCTTTTATCATGTGCTCTCCCTCTTATGTACTTCTTGCATCTTCTCGATGCCATCTATAAAATTCTTTTACTTCATAAAAAAGGTCCCAATAATGGAAGATTGAGAAAGTTAAGGTACAAGTTTACCGGTTTGGACAACAGATGTGATTTCTGAAGATGTTTGTTTACGTGCTTCCTTGTACTTAAGAAACTCAGTGTATTCCCATAAAGGAACCTTGTTAGAGTTCAAATCACCAGAATCCCTGTAGCCGTGGTTTTCAATTCTTGTTAACATTATTGAACTGAGCAGGACCAAAATAGAATACTTGGGATGCAAGAATCAGTGACAGGACTCATGAAGCGGATGTGGATATGAAGCTTGATACTCAAGTCTTCCCCAAAAGAGGTTTCAAGCATCTCAGGTCTATAATCCAAGTTATCAGGGAGATTGACAAGGATATCACACATCTTATTGGAGCGGAGTGGATGAAATGGAGGCTCGCATCCGGTGTTTTATGTGATAAGAATGTGCCACCATGACTAAAGGGTCAGTTCTACAGAGTGGTGGTTAGACCAATTATGCTGTATGGGGCTGAGTGTTGGCCAGTCAAGAACTCCCGTGTTCAGAAGATGAAATTAGCAGAAATGAGAATGCTGAGATGGATGTGTATGCATACCAGGAGAGATAAGATTAGGAATGAAGTTATTCCGGACAAAGTGCGAGTGGCCCCCGTTGAGGATAAAATGCAGGAGTCGAGGCTGAAATGGTTCAGACACGTGAGGAGGAGAAGCACAGATACTCTTAGGAAGAGCTAGAGGTAAGCCTAAGAAGTACCGGGAAGAGGTGATTAGGCAGGACATGACGCTATTTCAGCTTATTGAGGACGAGACCTTCTATAGAGGACGTAGAGGTTGAGAATTAGGGTTGAAGGTTAGTAGGTAGCCGAGAGTTTCCCCTTCCCTTACTAATAGTATTAGTAGCACTCTTGCATTTTCATATTCTTAAATCTCTATTACTTTCTGTTGTTTCTTTCGCTTCAGTTATCTTATTTTATTGTTGTTGTTCCTCCTCCAATTATCTTATGTAGGGGTAAGGTTTGCATACAAACTGCCCTCCCCAGACCTCCACTTGTGGGATTATACTGGGTTTGTTATTAACATAATTGAACAAATGTTGATAAAAAGATTACCTCAGAAAAAAATTCTTCTTTTTTTCTCTTCCTTTTTTCACCTTTGCTGAGCCGAGGATTTATCGGAAACAACCTCTCTACCTTCACCAAATAGGGGTAAGGTCTGCGTACACACTGTCCTCCCCAGACCCAATGGTGGGATTATACTGGGTTTGTTGTTATTAACATAATTGAACAAATGTTCATAAAAAAATTACTTCAGAAGAAGGTTCAGGAATATCTTATTGCCAAGACAATTTGATGTTCCCTAGACTGGATTAGGAATGAAAAGTCTTCCTCCAGTATGTCGGAGAAGTGATGAAATTGGATACAAAGTCACTGTGCCACCAGAAAATGTAGTTCTGCTAGTTGGATTATCATGAGAAAATTGTTCAGATTTGAGTTGGATTTAAACAAACAAAATCCAGATTATGCAGAAACTCCATAGTGTAGCAAAAACTGCAGAATCATTGCCTGGAAGATGGAAAATTCCCTGGAAAATAACTGGCGCGTAAATAGATTTCGCTGGAAAATTCCTTCTCTGATTGGTGTGCGAGACCAAGTGAGAGTTCCTTTTCCGACGGGATTACTGGCTGTTGCTTGCTGGACGATGCATGACCTGGTGGTGGCGCTGGTTTATTGCCTTATGCACAACACCCTCGAAATTAGAGAATAACTAAAGCAACAATAATGATCACCGGACAATTGCACGACGCCCATTTTTCTTTCTTCCGGAGGTTGTGCAGCGACTATTTCCTAACCTTGCTCTAATACCATGTGAAAAGTGAAACATACACGGGAGACAGAATGTTGCGTGATAATTCTCCTAAGCTAGTGGATGTTTAAACAAATATTCCCTGATTGATTCTAATTAATATACACAAATTTTAACCAAACATTCTCAACAGTCATACTGCTATGTTACAAATTAATCAGGATCAAACCTACATTTTGAACATATGCCCTACCCTCTTAGCTAAAGGAGGAAAAGGGATGAAGGAAGGGAAAATATTATAACAGGAAGAAGAGTGATTGAGCAATGAAGTAGAACCTACAATAGCTCCTAGAAACTTATTTGTTTATCCACATTTTTCATTAATCTTTGATATGTTACTGAAGCTATGCTTTTGTTATTTTAGATCATTGCAGGTATATGTGTACTAGTTTGGGTGGTAAACATTGGGCATTTTAGTGATGCTTCCCATGGTGGCTTCTTGCGAGGTGCAATACATTACTTTAAGGTATAGGATTCTCATCAATAGCATTTCTGATCGGTTTGTGCCTAAATATTGTAAGTTCACAAGTGGCTATTTTAATGTTAAAGTACTGCTACAATAAAGCTTTATGAGTTGGATAGTAGATCTTACCCTCCTTATTTATTAGTACAGAGGTTTTTCGACATGACTGGTTTGTTTCAGTATTAGTTTTTGTACCTGACTGATTTTGTCTCTATTAGTTATTGTACACTAAGTTGCTCGCACTCTTCACTATCGGTGCCGCACCCGTGTCGACAGGACATGGGTGTGAGTGTGGGACCCATACAGGATCTGGTCAACCAATTCATAGGAAACTTTAAAGTAGCAGATGATGCTTAGATTACATGATTCGTGAGTTTGAACAATTATTTTCATTATGAGTGATACTTTCATGGACTTATTTGTTTGTTTGATATAATGGGCATCTTATATTTGTTACCCATTTTCCATTAAGTCCTTTTTTGTCCTTGGCTTCTTACATGGACTGATTTGGTTTTTTACCGTATAACTGACAACGAGTATTTCTGTCTTCCCTGTTTAGATTGCAGTTGCCCTGGCTGTTGCAGCAATCCCTGAAGGGCTTCCTGCTGTTGTTACAACGTGAGTATGTGAAACCATGTTCTTTGAATTCCTAAGTTGGTGTCTGGAAAAGTTTTATGTAAAATATCTGTGTATTTTTCAGTTGGGATACTTGCTTGAATGTCATTATCCTTAATTCTTCCCCCCCAGCCAAAAAAAATATTCCCCCAAAATGTTTCCATTGGAGCCAAATGTAAATGTCATTCCCCCTTATGGGTTTCAACAAAAAGTGTGAGATCACATAGACCATGGGCAGAGAAGAAACCTTGAAGAACTTTTTACGAGCGTCATGGCTTAAGATTTATCATGTGATCAGCATGCCAACAAAATGAATTTTGTCTATTGAACTGTGTATTTCTTGTTATCGGCTTCAAAGATAATTCTTGGTTGTTCACTGTTTCTCTGTTTATCTGTTGCGTAAGTGCTTTGCGTATTACATATAGCCATTTTTCTCTTGGTTTAAGTTCTCTGTTCATTCTGATATGTATCCAGAAAGTTGTATCTTTAAAACATGTTATGTGCTAATAAGGTGTTTCATCTTTCCAACACGTAGGGCAGCACCATTTTAGATAAAAAGGACAGTAAACGGTAACACTGACTTTTGGTTAGGTACATTGCTGATGGAGAAAGGCTGCAATATTTTCTCATCTCCGTCCTCTTTTTCTAATAACTTTGGACACTTATGCATTGCCCATGATAGTAGTAGAAGATGAAAAACAGTAATTTATCAATTTAGTTAGAAGGTTAACTAACATATAAATGTTAAAAATAACCGAGTACTGAAAAATTAAATGAAAAGGAATACTTTTTGTTCTTTTATTATTGAGTTTGTTACCAAATCTTCTGTTTGTTCCTTCAACACTTCAACACTGGGTATTGATGTTTTTATTTTGAAAACTAAAAGTAATACTACGAGCTAGTTTCTTAAGCATGATAAGAAAAATCAGAGTACCCCGACATATTTCTTTCTGTGATGATTACTGGAAGATGATAATGTCCCTTTATGTGATAAATTGGAAGTGGTTTAAATAAGAGTTTACGGAAGAAAATAGTTTTTGCTCTTGTTGCGGTTTTCTTTAGGAGAACTTTTTGTTTTCTTAATTTTTCTATTATATCGAGGCCTTTTTGTTTAATTCACCTAATCATGCTTCACTTCCTATCTGAGTTTCTCTGGTTGAAGACTTTTTATGTGCTAGTGTATTTTTTTGTTGTGGCTATCTCGAACCTCGTAATGCATGCACTGAAGAGAGTATTTATCTATTAGAATATTTTCTTTTTTAATTTCAAGATAATATATTAAGTAGTTGAGTAGGACTGGAGGTTTGGACACAAACGTTGGAGTCTAAATGTTTCAAGTTGAGTAGGACCAAGACTGAGTACTTGGAGTGCAAGTTCAGTGACGAAACTGATGGTGCAGGCGTGGACGTGAGGCTTGATACACAAATCATCCCTAAGAGAGTTAGTTTTAAGTACCTTGGGTCTATTATCCAAGGAAATTGGGTGATTGATGAGGATGTTACTCATCGTATTGGAGCAGGGTGGATGAAATGGAGACTTGCATCCGACGTTTTATGTGATAGGAATGTCTACCTAAACTTAAGGGTAAGTTTTACAGAGTGGTTGTCAGACCTATCATGTTGTACGGAGCAAAGTGTTGGCTTGTCAAGAACTCTATGTCTAGAAGATAAAAGTAGTGGAAATGAGGATGTTGAGATGGATGTGCGGACATTCCAGGATCGATAAGATTAGAAATGAAGATACTCTGGAGAGGGTAGGAGTAGCCTCGGTGGAGGACAAGATGCGGGAAACGACGCTTTAGGTGGTTTGGTCATGTGAAGAGGAGAAGCACAAATGCCCCATTAAAAAGGTGTGAGAGGTTGGCCTCGGTTGGTCTGGAGAGGGGTAGAGGTAGGCCAAAGAAGTACTGGGGAGAGGTAATAAGGCAGGACTTGGCGTTGGTGCAACTCACTGAGGATATGACCCTTGATAGGAAGGTGTGGAGGTCTAGAATTAGGATAGAAGGTTAGTAGGTAATCAAGTGTGTGTCATACCGGTAATATTAGTAGTTAGCCTATAGATTTTTGAGAAGAAGAAAAGACTTCTTGTATTTTTGTGTATATCTTATATCCCTAAGAAAATGTATTTATACACTAAGGGTGTGTTTGGTATGACGGAAAATATTTTCGGGAAAATCCCATTTTCACTGTTTGGTTGCACAAAATAGTTTGGAAAGTATTTTTCTAGATATCACATTTTCCTGAAATTGGAGGAAAATGACTTCCCTATAAAAAGTTAGGAAAACATTTTCCAAAAGCTCCACCTACCCTCACATCTAACTCCAACCCCCTCCCCCTTCTCTCCCCTAACCCACCTCTCCCATCCCATCTTTCTATATTCTGCCTTCGCACTTGATCTAGCAACTACATTTACTTTTTGCTTCTCCAAATTACTACGTTTCCTCCTACGAGCGTACACTAATTGGATGTAGATCTTCTGTCATCCAGAGATCAGCCCAATATGCGTCTGTAAAGGCTTGTATTTGGAGGTGATCATGTTTGGAGAAAAGTAGATCTTTTCCTGGAGCAGATTTTAGATACCGCAAAATGTGAAAGGTAACTTGCATATGAGGATCTCGGGGATCATGCATGAACTGATTCTCCAGGCTAACTGAATAGGCTATGTCTGGTCTAGTGTGGGAGAGATAAATGAGTCTTCCAACAAACCTCTGATATCTTTCTTTATCAACTGATTCTCCAACTCCGCTTTGTAACTTGTGATTGCTTTCAACGGGCGATTCTGCGGGTCTGCAACCTGTCATACTAGTTTTTTTCGAGATATTCAGAATATACTTCCTCCGAGAAATAAAGATTCCTCTTTTTGATCTAGCAATCTCAATTCCCAAGAAGTAATGTAATTTTCCTAGATCCTTGATCTCAAATTCATGTGCCAACAACTTCTTCAATCGGGCCATATCCTCTTTGTCATCTCCTGTCATTACTATGTCATCAACATAAACTATGAGAAGAGTTAGTTTACCTGTATGATGTCTTATGAAGAGGGTGTGATCAACATTGCTTTGTTGGTAACCAAAGGAGATCATTGCTTTACAGAATCTGTCAAACCAAGCTCTGGGGATTGCTTCAGTCCGTACTAGGCTTTCTTCAACTTGCATACCTTTTCTTGACTTTGTGCAGTATCAAATCCAGGAGGAATCTTCATATACACCTCTTCTTTTAAGTCTCCATGAAGAAATGCATTCTTCGCATCAAACTGTTGCAAGTCCCAATCAAGATTAGCTGCATAAGACAACACTAAGGGCAAATGCCTCTTGATAATCCACTCCATAAGTCTGAGTGTATCCCTTAACCACCAATCTTGCTTTGAATCTTTGAATCGAGTCATCAGCTTTGTGCTTCACAGTGAAGACCATTTGCAGCCAATCAACTTCTTGTCTGGTGGTGAAGTGACAAGTTCCCAAGTCTCATTTTTTAACAAGGCCTTCATTTCTTCAATCATAGTTTGCTTTCATTTAGGATTTGCAAAAGCTTCCCTCCAATTATGAGGAATAGATACAGAAGTAATAGACAAGGCAAATGCTCTATAGGAGTGAGACAGAGAACTATATGAGACAAATTAGATAAAGGGTGTTTGGTGGTGCAAGATTTGACCCCTTTGCTATGAACAATAGGTTCATCTAACTCATTAGGAAATGTGGATAACTCACCAGTAGAAGAAGGTTCAGCTTCGGTAGATTGCATGATGGCTTCTTCTGCTCTATTTTTCCTTGAGTAAGTTTTCAAATCAGGCCTATCCAAACGCCTAATAGTCTCCCCTGAATTCTTTCTCTAATTTCACTTTCCCCTGTGGCAATGGTCATCAAAATTGGAGAAAAAATATATTTTAAGCAAGAGTTATCTTCCACCATGATGTAAAAGACTCCCGACATGCTCAGCACTATAATCTTTTATTGTTTTAGTCTGTTGCTCGAAGATACTTTTTGCTTTTTACCCCTACTTTATGCTCTTTTTTTTCAGTCTCCTCCAATCCACCTCCCTCCCAATAGAAAAGAAATAAAAGTTACTATGCATGTTTATCTATTTTTGGCAGGTGTTTGGCCCTTGGGACAAAGCGAATGGCTCGTTTAAATGCTATTGTGAGATCCTTGCCATCCGTGGAAACATTGGGCTGCACCNGGGGTGAGGGTGCTAGGATAAGTAACAGTAAGACAGAATAGATTAGATGGGGTTGTGGTGCTTAAATACAGACAATTCAGATATCTAGGCTTGATGTTCCTTGAGAATGGTACGATAAATGAAGATGTAACACATAGAACTAAGTTAGATGGTTGAAATAGAGAGTTTATCGAAGAGTTGTGCGATAGTAGTCCATCAGTCAAAGTTAAAAGGCAAGTTTTGTAGAACCGTAATAAGAGCAGGAATGTTATATAAGATTGAGCGATGGGCCTCGAAAGTCAAATATACGTAAGATGAGTGTCGTAGAAATGTGAGTGTTAAGATGGATGTGAGATTATACTAGATCTGGCGATATTAGAAATGATTACACTATTGACATTAGGTACAAGTAGCACAGTAGATGATAAGTTGAGAGAATGTCACTTGAGATGGTTGAGACATGTTTTCCAAATTCCATAGAGCCCGGCATGCAATGATCCATACGTATGAAAGCATGATAATTGAAGATATTAAAGAGGAATGAGGTAGACCTAAAATCTTATCGGAGGTTTCCTTGAAAGGGCTACAATCTCCTGGAATACATGCAAACTTTGCGAAAAATAGAATGCAGCAGAAATAAAAGATCCATATCGGTGATACTAACTAGTTAGGAATAAGACTTAGTCATGCTGGTAAGCTTATGTTAGGTCCAACTTTCGCTAGGAGTCTTCCTAATCTTTTCAAAGGCAGTTGAAAAGGAAGAGATAATCTAAATTGTTAAATATTCGAAAGAAATAGGCTTGGAGGACCGAAATGGATAGTAATGCAGATATTCTGCCAATGTTTTAAACAATCATTAGCACATGTAAATTGTGAACTCTAGATTTGAAGAGCACAATATTCTTTTTTAAGTCTATCATTTTCTGGTACCTACAGTATTGAAGTTTGTTCATTAGTCTGTAAGTTCTTTGACAAATAGTATTCACTTGCTAAAGAATTTTTGATATATTTTTTCTGTTCAGATCTGTGTGCTTCATTCAGTAAATAATGGTCCAGTGGCCTCTGAATACGTCATCAGTGGCACAACTTATGCACCAGAAGGTTTTATATTTGACAGCTTGGGAGCCCAGGTTTTCCTTGCACTACATATGCTTCTTTTGTTGACTGCAAGCAATGCCACTCATGTGTTAGCAGTGTAGGACATGGACCCGGTGAAACTGAATTCTCCGTGATTGTGATGTAAATCTTAGACAATTATCTCTTGAATGCTTATCATCTTAAGTGAAGGCTTTGCAAAGCCAAAAAAAAAAAAAAAGGAAAAAAAGAAAAATCAGAAAACTTACCAAATATGATTTCCTGATGTCATTTGAATTTATGCAATGAGCAAGAGAAATAGGATAGTCTCTGAAAGGCAGTGTTGGCCCTGTGCTACCTTCCGAAGTTGTTAAATTGACCTTTTACATTAAGAATTTTCAAAAGCCCCCTCAAGCTTGTCATTTGTCCCTGCTAAATACTTTTCCTATCCTTTCAGCTCCTCTAAGAATGAGTCTGGTAAAGAAAATGGAGTTAGCTCAATCCCAAAATCAAGATTAAGATGTGATGATTGTGCAAGATGATATAAGGAAACTACAACCTATACACTTAATCTATGTGAGATTCTAACATCTGTTGGATGCTTAGAGCTGGACATCTGGAGCATGGAGTAGCATTACTTGGGTGAGTATAGGGTAGTTCAACATTAGGAATGTGTTCGGTTTTGATACCATGTCAAGTAAATGGACCTTGGACCTAAGTTAATCCCAAGAATCTAGTTCACCGATGTTGGCATCTGACTAGTCCTGTGTTTTCTTTGTTGAAATAAGAAAGGTACAGGACAGCTAATTCATAGTGGTATGCGATAACCTAATTTTATTGGTCCAAGGACCCTCTATGATGAGTTTGCTCCACTTTCTGGGATTCTGTGAATTGAAATGCCATTTTTCTCATGTCTGATGACTAGATGATTCTCCAGCACTTATTGGCAAATTCTTTTGCATGTACAAAACCTGTGAAGTGGGCGGCTTCTTGTTCAGCCTGTATATATGCTATTAGTAGAAAGTAAACACCCTTATACTTTACAGAAAACAACTAGTGTTAGAACCCGTGCAATGCGTGGATAATTTGACACAGTATTAAGCTTATAAAATTATGATAATATCATATTTTAAAAAAAAATATTAGTTGTTATTTTATTTTTTAATATAGTGTGCAGAAATATAACAAAATCTATATAAAATAAAAGGAACACATCATATAGTAACCAAATAATTTTGTTCCTTATTTATTCTTTGTTAAATTAGAAAGTGGTTAGTACTGTTCAAAATTCTTCAATTCTCTGAATTTATCAATAATTTTCTTGGGGATTATTTATTTATCATTTATTTTTCAACTAATTGAAAGTATAAATATCATAATATTATCTTTATCGCCCTCTTTTCATACATTATTTTCTACTGTAATATTTGATTTGTTTTCTCATTTTGTATTTTACTTAAAATTTAAATAATATAATATTTTTTACTAAATTATGATTTTTAATTCATCAAAGGTATAAAGAGATAAGCCTTTTGTTATTTTTGTAAAAGTCTATCAATATTTTAATAATTACTGCCTCCGTTGCAATTTATGTGAACATATTTCCTTATTAATTCGTGCCAAAAAGAATGACCCCTTTTCATATTTGGAAACAATTTACCTTTGTGCAATGATTTATAGCCACACAGAATATATGTGCCTCATTTTGCACCATAAGTTTAGAAGTCTTCTCTTTTTTCTTAAACTCCGTACCCAGTTAAATAGGTTCACATAAATTGAAACGAAGGGAGTATTATTTTGTGTTTTATATATAATATACTTATCTTAGGTGTAAATGTCCTAATAGTATCTTTATATTTTTGTATTTTTCATTATGAAATTATGAGTTCTATTTATTAAGTAAAATTTCCTACATGAGAAATTTAATTAATATATCTTGATATTCTTTCGTTCTTTTTTTTTAAAGTATTCTTCCTTTATGACTATTTGTTTATTATGATTTTAGTTATTATTATATGTACGACTTTTCTCATCATAATTTTAATAATAAGTCTGATATTTTATATTTCCCATATATATTATTATTTGTATATATTTTCCCACAAAGAGGGGAATAAAGATAATCTTCTTGATTGTTATTTACTTATTTTTTATTTTTAATTAATTCAAAGTATGAATATCATAAGATTATCTTTTATCCCCCAATTTTCGTACATTATTTTCTACTATAATATTTCATTATCGTTCTCATTTTGTTTTTTACTCAAAATTTAAATATATAATATTTTTTACTAAATTATAATTTTGAATTCATCACAATTATAAAAAGATAACCCTTTTATTATTTTTGTGTTTATTTATTATACGGATATTATTGTGTTATTCTTTTAAATGGATGATGTTGAATTGTTTCAAAGGTTAATCAGAGAAATTCTTTTATTATATGTTATATTTCAATAATTATTAATAATTGTAATAATTATTATTTTTATGTTATTTTCAATAAGAAATTAAATTAAATTCCCCTCCCTGTTTGTATTTAATATGGAAGTTTAATTTTTTAATTAAAATTACTACATAAGAATTTAAATTATATCTTTATATTTTTTATTTATTTTTTGGAGTTTTATCTATTATAATATTTTTAGGTACGTGATCTTATACATATAACAAGACCATATGATTTATTATTCAAAAACTTTCTCATTTCAAAAAATAAATCTGTCTTATCCTTTTATATATCTTAGCACTTAAGTTATTTATTTATATATTTTTCCTCATTTTTATAATAGTTTCCTAAAAAATATATAGATATTTAATTTTTGTTCTAATTCACTGTGAGTAACTAATTATTAATTAAACTAACTAATTTTGTTCTAAAACTACTATATGTCTTTCTCCTATACTGCCACTTGTCATAATCCTAGGCTAGACTTCCTTCTTTTTAATAATATATAGTTATAGATATAGATATAGGTATAAATATAGCAAGACCATATGTATTATTACTATTCAAAAACTTTCTCATCTCAAAAAATAAGTTAGTCTTATCCTTTTATATATCTTTACGCTGAAGTTATTTATTATATATTTTTCCTCATTTTTTATAATAGTTTCCTTAAAAATATATAGATATTTAATTATTTTTATTTCAAATTCAAAATGAGTAACTAATTATTAACTAAATTAACTAATTTTTTCCTAAAACTACTATGTGTCTTTCTCCTATAGGCTAGACTTCATTCCTTTTAATTATATATAGATTATTTGCTTGCTACTTGCTTCTATTCTCCTTAGTATCTTCATTTAATAGTTCGTTTGTTTTGGTGTTCCTATGTGCAGCTAGAGATTCCGGCACAACTTCCTTGTCTTCTTCATATAGCAATGTGCTCAGCTCTTTGCAATGAGTCTATTATACAATACAACCCAGATAAGAGGATTTACGAGAAGATTGGTGAATCAACTGAAGTTGCCCTTCGTTTGCTGGCAGAAAAAGTTAGCCTTGACTTTAGCTTCTGTAGTTTCTTTATTACTTCCTAACCCTCTAATTTATATAACATTTCTTTCTATTTTGTAGAAGTCCCAAATGTTTGACATCATTTAACTGATAACATTAGTTTATACAACTTTACATTTTTCAAGATCTATAATTTATTTAATAATTCAAATTTTAAATGATTTGATGATTTTCTATCAATCTATCTGTACAACCATTATTTTATTGTTTCCTTTCACTATTACTTATATAATAAGTTAAATTAACATTTTAGTTCCCACAGGTCAAATAAAAAGGGATGTAGGAAGTATTTGTTTAAGATATGTACATTTTGCATGCGCATAAATTGAATTTTGACTGATAATCAGATGTAATTCTGTGCTTCTTCTCTTCAATTTTTGTCAGATTGGTCTTCCTGGTTTTGATACAATGCCGTCTGCTTTAAATATGCTAAGCAAGCATGAACGGGCATCTTATTGTAATCGCTATTGGGAAAGCCAATTTAAAAAGGTGAGGTGTGCTAATTTATTTATCTTTTTACTTTGATAATATTCACATTCTCATGGATTTTCAAACTGAATTGCTTGTGCTTAAACTTGGAAATAAATCATATCTGAGATATCCAAATGGGAGCGTGATTCAAGTTGCCGAACACATTTAAAATCATGTTTCTTTCATAAGTGTTCCAAATGTGTTCCCCTATTGGATCTTACTAAAAGCTGAGATGATAGTAACTCCCTATTATCAAATGCGTACAAGACCGTGAAATTTATGCAATAGTTTTATCATGGAAAATACGGTAAATATAATGGTTTTCACCATTTCGATCGTCACATTCGTTAAAGACATCATGCATCAACTGTTCCCTCTTGTTTGCAACTGCCTTTAAAATTTTGAATGAAGGCAAAAAGCTAAGATGAATTCAGTGTAAAAGTTTGTTACAGGTAATACAATCTTAAAACAGCAGCTGGGTGCACCAAGCTTTTGCGACGTGGGGGTTCCAGCGTAGAGCTGGACCATCTATTGAGAAAAAGTGGTTGTTGCAAGTTCTACAAATCCCTAGTAGTCCGGACTATCTATTGAGAAAAAGTGGTTATTGCAAGTTCTACAAATCCCTAGTAGTCCTCAATTTTTGGTTGCAAAACGTGAAAGGTCTTGAACTGCGCGAATTTGTTTTTTCGATTAGTTAATTCGGTCTAGAGCATAATTCTGCCAAGCAAGAAATACAAGGCACTGTTATATGAATAAGTCAGAACTTGTTCTCTTATTATCTTGTTATGGTTACTGCTTGTTTTCTTATTATCTTGCTGTTGGTATTGCTTGTTGTTACTGCTCTCTTTTTCTTTCCTTGAACCGGGGGTCTATCGGAAACAACCTCTCTGCCCTCAAGGTAGGGGTAAGGTGTGCGTACACACTACCCTCCCTAGACTCCACTCGTGAGATTATACTGGGTTTGTTGTTGTTGTTGTTGTTGTTGTATTTAGAATCAACACCTTTAATTTTCCTTCTCCTGGAAATCAAGCTGCTTTATTAATTTGTTTACTTGTATGATTATCATTTATGAAAAATAATCAGAACACCAAATTTGGTGCTATGCTTGTTGTGACATTCGTCTTTACTTATTCCATATCTTGCAGGTTTCTGTACTGGAATTTTCACGTGATCGCAAAATGATGAGTGTGCTTTGTAGCCGAAAGCAGATGGAGATAATGTTCTCAAAAGGAGCTCCAGAAAGCATACTTTCAAGATGTAACAATATACTGTGCAATGATGATGGTTCTACAGTCCCTCTTTCTGCACATATTAGAGCTCAGTTGGAAGTAAAATTTAATAGGTTAGGCCTATTCGCTTTCTTTGATGGTTGTATTTTTTCTGCAAGCTTGGTACTTGTGTGAGTGGGATATTTTGATCCGGATAGTTCAGATAGAAAGCTCTGAATTCAACTTATCTGAAGTAGGAATGACATTTGTGGAGGATATAAGTGTGGATTTTATGCTGTGCTGGGATTGTGGCCTTAATTTGGTGTCTATGCATATATATATATACAAGTCTGATACTTAGCACCTACTTCAATTATCAAAGGACAATTGATTTATGTTTTGGCTTTGNATATATATATGTTCAAGTCTGATACTTAGCACCTACTTCAATTATCAAAGGACAATTGATTTATGTTTTGGCTTTGTTGACTTAATTCAGTCTGCAGCCAATGAGCCAATATAAAAATTGCACATTTCACCAATTCATCATTTAATAATGTCCTTCGGTGGTAATATGCTAGCATTTATTACTCATTATTTTATTGTCCGCTCTTTCTATTATCCTTTATGCTTGGTCTCTCTTATTGTTAGACAATTTCTATTCTAAAGGCATAGTGCAAACATTCACGGATTTGCAGATCTAAAAATGGCTATGTACCTATGAAATATCTGTGATGCTTCTTGAGGGGAAGTTCAAGGATTTAACAGCCTCTAGTTGAGATATTTCAAAAAGAAGCTGAGTTAATGGAAGAGTAACACTTTAGAATCAACCCTTTCCAACATGTGCACATACTCTATCGTGCACTATGCAGAATAATAAAATGAACAAAAAGGGATAACTGTTTTGGAAAAAAAAATCATTTTGATAGCAATCATTTCATTCGAAATTGAGAGATGGTATAATTATGATTATCCCCTGGTGTTCTTCATAACTTTGAGTCTCATTTGTCAGGACAATGCAAATAAGACTTTCTTTGTAGATCTGCAAATAAGACTTTCTTTGCAGATCATAATTTTTTTTTTTTTTTTTTTTTTTTTTTTTGCTATTTCAATACTTTCTTTACAGACCGTTAGTAGTAAGATGAGTATCTCTATCTCAATCTTCCCTGAGTGAACTCCATAACCTAACAAAAGGATATGGATACTGATAAAGGTATCTCTAGATTTTAGGGAAAAAAGCGAATAAACTGCATCTTCATCATGGAATTCTCTCCTTTGTGAGAAATGACAGAAACATATTTGTCATCCTCAAGGGGATATGATTATTTGTAGTATTTGACCCTCCGTTACTTCTCTGCAAGTGTTAAAGCTTGAATCTAATGAGGATGGGATATATGATGTTATTCAGGGGCTAAATGTTCGCATAATGTGGTGCGCCGTGTGAGAAAATTATTATATCAGACATAGATCTAAGATGAAAGGGCATATGTATTCTAATTGTTATTCTTTGTTTGCTTCGCTTAGAATCTTTCATAGGTCTTTTTGGGAGTGGAATGTTGATATTCTCTACTCCAATTTTTTTTTCCTATGTGAAATTGTACCAAGGCACCAAGGTTATTGTCCCACCAGAGGCAATACCGGTGAAATCTCTCCATCTACTTAAGTCTTGGCAGATAAAGTTATCGGGTATGTGTGCTGCTAGGAAGTACTCTATGCCTAGTGGGCTAGTGAGGTGCACGTAAGTTGGCCCGAATACCACCATTATCCAAAAGATTGTACTAGGGAACCTACTGATAGACAGACCATTTCGAGTCTTAATGGCCTCTGCTAATGGTTAAGGCATTGGTTAAGTTTTTTGAGAACATTTTACAAGAGTTCCAAGATTCCGTAAGTAGTGATTACTACTTGTATGAGACATTGAATAACCTTTCCTATATATTTCTTTGATTAAGGAATGTTTTTGTTTCGAGAGTTCAGTCGCTCAGTATGAGCTCTAGCAGAATTTAGCTGCTGTTGCATTGAAATCTTCTCATTCTTGAGTGGGAGAATTACTTCTTAAGCAGGTTCAGGAGGCTCCGTTACGCCCGAGTATTGCCGTTGCTATGATTATTGGGGATTTTTCCCACTCTTGCTAGTGTACTAAACATGAATATGGTAGTTATCTCAGAGTTATCTGGCAGTTCCTCTAGATGCATGGCTGTTCATCTTTCTAACTTATTATCTTCTATGAATTAACGGGTTCTCGTAACTATTTGAAAATCTGGTGCATTTGTTCATATATAAGGTTATACAGGTGATGCATATTGTTTTTCCCTCCAGTTTTGCAGGAAAAGAAACTCTTAGATGCTTAGCACTAGCCTTGAAAAGAATGCCTATGGGTCAACAATCACTCTCCTTTGATGACGAAAATGACCTTACATTTATTGGGTTGGTATGCTCTCTCTTCTTTATGTCAGTCTTACAACTTCTTGATTTGTTTACTAATTTTTGTGTGAATTATGGAGTACTTCCTTTAAAGACAAAGTATTTAGTATCGGAATGAGATGGATCTGAGTAGAGTGGAACGGATGCATAGGATTGAAATAGTTGACTCCAAATAATTTGGTGTAGAGGCGTTGTTGATTGATATATGTATATACACACATATATATGTACATGGAATACCTTTTTAGCAGTTATTAATGCCTGTAACTGCCACTGATAATGATCTTTTTGCACCCATTCTTTCTAATACATGGCGAAAGTTTCTTCTATCAGAGGTTTAAGTTCATGAAATGCTAAGATTTTAAACTATCCAATCTGAACTTAAGGACACTGCTCTGAATTCTTCTAAATAATGAGAATCTCTATGGAATTTCTCTGGCAGAGATGTTCTGAAATTTCTCTGACATTCTAACACAGTCTGTATTTTCATACAAACATACTGAAAGAGAAGTTTTCCATTTCTTATATTTATGTGGGATAAAGACCTTGCTCTTAAAATTATATCTCATTTACCCTATTTGGCTACAAATGATTTATTTCACTGCGAAATTATTTCATATGGTCTGGATAGGTTCTCTTTTATTGCACTACCAGTTTGTTTAAAAGAATTTTAGATTTTAACTATGATCTAGCCTAAGCGAGTGAAAATTTTAACTTCTTCTATCTCTATCTGCTCACCTATCACTTAATAGATTGTGAAAGGGACATACCACTTTATCCCAAAAGTTGTATACGCAGATTTTTTTATCACTTTCTTCATTTGCGCCTTTCTTCATTAAAGTCACGCTCTATTTTGCACATTTAAAACGCCAATAGATTTGTTAGATAGTTATGTAAATAACCCTAGTCCCACATGGAATAAGAGTAGAATAGGTGTTGTGTATAGTTATAAATAGGGCTATTGTAAAACACTTAATAGAAAAATCAATAATATATTTTTCTCCCGTGCTTTCTCACATGGTATTAGAGAATTAGTGAGAAACTTATCGCTGTACATTCCAGCGATTTCTGGGAAGAAAGACCTCGTCGCCGTGCAATTTTCCGGCGACCTAAGAGGCTGTCCGCAACAAAATCTTTTTTCCTTGGTGTTGTGCAAAATCCAACACTACCACAAGGTTCCTAAGACAGGCGACAAACCCCAGAAAAAATCTCCAGCAAAGCCTCCTCCATGCGCTTGTCAGAGACAAGTTTCGGGTGGCACGTCTGTCCCACGCGCCGGCGCGTGAGCCTATTTCCGGCCATTGTTTGGCCGACTTTCAGGACAGATTGTTCGCAAGGCTTTTCCGAGCCTACCCATCAAGGTTACACCAGATTCCGACGAATTTTTTATTTTTCGGTGAGCCACAGTGTTTTCCGGTGAACAGTCCAATGAACAGTGAAAAGTGGACAGTAGTTTCTCTTATACTTTGGGAGTCAGCTAGGGCTCACGGAGGTTGTTAGAATTTTGGTCGAAACAAAATGGGAACCGATACTTTAAATGGTTTCTTTACCGGATTATATTGAGTTCCTTCAGTACAAAACATGTAAGCAAACTTCTTCTGAGATAGCTTCTGCTGTTCAAATAGGTAATAACGTGACTTGTGTCTCCCATTCTTCGTCCTCTGAGTCTAGGGTGATTGATTCAGGTGCATCTGTTCACATTTCTGGTATCAAATCTCGTTTCACTACTATTTCATGTTCTCAATCTCTTCCAACAGTTACAATTGCCAACGGGTCTCAAACCATGACAACTGTAATAGGTCAAGCAAGTCCACTTCTCCTTGCCTTTAGATTCAGTTCTTTATGTTTCCAGTAGTCTTTTTAATCTTATAGTCGTTAGTCACTTAGCCAAATCACCTAAATGCTATGATTTGTTTCTTGATGACCTTGTTTTTACATAGGAACGCAGTATTGGGCGGATCCTTGGTACCGGGCATGAATCAAATGGACTTTATTACCTTATCCTTGAAAAATCACATGGACTCACATCTTGTCTTCCTTCAACAACTTCTCATGTTACTGATTCACCCGATTTATTACATAAACAGTTGGGACATTTGAGTTTGTCAAAACTTCAGAAAATGGTGCCTGGTGTATCTCACTTGTCCACTCTAGAGTGTGAGTCATGTCAGTTCGGTAAGCATACTCTCTCCCATTTCTCTCTGCGTCCTGATAATCGAGCAGTGTCACCTTTCACTTTAGTCTATTCAGATGTTTGGGGTCCTAGTCGGGTCGGTTCTACCTTGGGATTCCGCTACTTGTCAATGTCATTGATGATTATTCCTAGGTGCACTTGGATATTTTTGATGAAAAATCGATTTGAGTTATTTTCTATTTTCCAGACCTTTCACGCTGAAATTCAAAATCAATTTGCGGTTTCTATCTGCACATTTCATAGTGATAGTGCCCTAGAGTATTTGTCTTCCCCATTTCAGCAGTTTATGAACTCTCGTGGGATTATTCATCAAACATCTTGTCCGTATACATCTCAATAAAATGGGGTAGCTGTAAGAAAGAATAAATATTTTATTGAAACTGCTCGTACCCTACTCTTACAATCTCATGTTCCGTTGCGTTTTTTGGGGATGCAGTTGTTACATCTTGCTATCTAATTAATCGTATGTCATCCTCAGCTATCCAGAATCAAGTTCCATTCTCTATCTTGTTTCCCCACTTACCTTTGTTCTTTCTTACACCCCGTGTCTTTGGGAGCACGTGTTTTGTTTATAACCTTTCTCCAGGAAAAGATAAGTTAGCTCCCTGTGCTCTTAAATGCATATTTTTGAGTTACTCGAGAACGCAAAAAGGGATATAGATGCTATTCACCTGACCTCCAGCGGTACCTTATGTTTGCTGATGTCACCTTCTTTGAAACCCAATCATACTTAACAGGTTCAGATAATCACTTAGATATTTCTGAGGTGCTACTAGTTCCATCTTTTGGAGATTCAATCACTATCTCCCATTCATCTTCCTCTACAACTGCAGCTTCACCACCTACATTTCCAATTCTAGCTCCACCACCTATAACTCCAAGCTCACCACCTAGTTCAACTCAACCTTCTACCGCTCCACCACTCCTGACTTATCATCGTCGTCCGCGCCCATCAACAGGCCCAACTGATTCACGTCATGCACCTGACCTTGCTAATACTGCGGACTTGTCTACTCTTAGTCAACCGATTGCACTACGGAAAGGTATACGACCCACACTTAATCCTAATCCCCATAATGTCGGTTTAAATTACCATCGTCTGTCATTACCCCATTATGCATTTGCATCATCTTTGTCCTTCGTTTCCACCCCTACCTCTACATGCGATGATTGACGAGATGTCTGCTTTATATATGAATGGTACTTGGGAGCTTGTTCCTCTTCCTTCGGGTAAATCGACTGTTGGTTATCATTGGGTGTATGCAGTCAAAGTTGGTCCAGATGGCCAGGTTGATCGACTTAAGGCTCGTCTTGTTGCCAAAGGGAATACTCAGATATTTGGGCTCGATTATAGTGATAATTTCTCTCCCATGGCTAAAATAGCATCAATCTGTATTTTTCTATACATGGGTGCTGTTCGCCATTGGCTTCTCTATCAATTGGACATTAAGAATGCTTTTCTTCATAGTGACCTTGAGGATGAGGTTTATATGGAGCAACCACCTGGTTTTGTTTTTGTGGGGGAGTCTAGTGGCTTTGTATGTCGGTTTTGCCACTCTATGGTCTAAAGCAGTCTCCTCGAGCCTGGTTTGGTAAGTTTAGCACAATTATTCAGGAGTTTGGCATGACTCGTAATGAAACTAATCACTTTGTGTTTTATCGGTATTCTGCTTCAAATATCTGTATTTATCTGGTGGTTTATGTTGATGTTATTCCGACAATGATTAGGATGGTATTACTAAGTTGAAGCAACATCTCTTTCAACACTTTCAGACTAAGGATCTGGGCGGATTAAAGTATTTTCTGGGTATTGAGGTTGCTTAGTCTAGCTCAGGTATTGTGATCTTATAACAGAAGTATACCTTGGACATTCTTGAGGAGACAAGAATGACAGGCTGGAGACCTGTTGACACTCCCATGGATCCGAATTCTAAAATTTTGCCAGGACCAGGGGAGCCGCTTAGCGATCCTGCAAGATATATCCGGCTAGTTGGTAAATTAAATTACCGCACAGTGACTAAACTTGACATTGCTTTTCATGTGAGTGTAGTGAGTCAATTATGGATTCTCCTTGTGATAGTTATTGGGATGCAATTGTTTGCATTCTTCGATATATAAAATCAGCTCTAGGCAAACAAAAGATTAATGTTTGAAGATTGAGGCCATGAGCAAATTATTGGATATTCAGATGCTGACTGGGCAGGATCACCTTTTGATAGACGTTCTACGTTTGGATATTGTGTTTTAGTACGAGGTAATTGGTGTCTTGAAAGAGCAAGAAACAGAATGTGGTTGCTCGGTCTAGTGCAGAAGCAGAATATCGAGCAACGGCTGTGGCAACGTGTGAGCTAGTTTGGATCAAACATTTGCTCAAGGATCTGAAATTTGGTGAAATCAGCAAGATGAAACTTGTGTGATAATCAAGCTGCCCTTCATATTGCATCAAATTCGGTATTCCATGAGAGAACTAAACACATTGAGGTTGGCCGTCACTTCGACAGAGAAAAGATATTCTCAGGAGATATTGCTACAAAATTTGTGATGTCAAATGATCAGCTTGCAGATATTTTCACCAAGTCCCTTACTAGTCCTCGTATTAGTAACATATGTAACAAGTTAGGTACATATGATTTGTATGCACCGGCTTGAGGGGGTCGGGGGGGGGGGGTTAGATAGTTATGTAGATATCCCTAATCCCACATGGAATAAGAGTAGAATATGTATAGTTATAAATAGGGCTATTGTAAAATACTTAATAGAGGATATCAATAATATATTTTTCTCCCGTGCTTTCACTCAAGATTTAACCAACTTTTCGCCTTTTATTACACTGCATAGGCTCTACACCAGACTCTGTATTTTCCCTTGAATTAAAAGTCAAGAACACGTGGGTATTGAAGTGCATGGCTTAGTACCTCGATGCTTACATTAAAGCACCACCTATGTGAGTTAAATTGCTTACTCTGTGCTGCATGGAATACGAGTAGAATATGTGTAGTTTATAGTTATAAATAGGGCTATTGTAAAACACTTAATAGAAGATATCAATAATATATTTTTCTCCCGTGCTTTCACGCAAGATTTAACCAACTTTTCGCCTTTTTCCCTTGAATTAAAAGTCAAGAACACGTGGGTGTTGAAGTGCATGTCTTAGTACCTCGTTGTTTACATTAAAGCACCACCTATGTGAGTTAAATTGCTTACTCTGTGCTACATATAAGTTCAAGGTTTAAGTGCGCCTCAAAGGTACCTTTAAGATCATAGCCCTGGAGTTGTTTATAAATGGTTTTTCTAGTAAAGATCTTATGTTTCGGTTAAGGTTGAAATACATGTGTGGATATGGGACGGAAGAGGTTCATTTGGACGTGTGCTTCTTAGGTATTGCCTGATACAAATGCCTTGAAATTAATAGTATAGATTGACAATGAAGGAGTCTTTTTTCAATTAGGTTGTCTTACTTTAATTTGTTCAACGCAACAAGTTCCTTTGAAGGAATAGCTCCTCTAGATACAGAAAGAGATTAGGGAGCTTACTCTTATTTGTGTATACAATGTCACTACTGTTATGTTCCCTTTTGTCCTACTATGAATATTCTGTCATTCAAAATTAGTATCGGCTAAATTCTTATATATCACAAGTTGGCATTAATAAAATAGACAGTATTCAGACCTCCAGGGCTAGACCAGCTATGGTCTAATGGTAAGAGTGCATCGCGTGATGTGTTGGCTAGCCAAGGGACTGGATGTAATTGATTCAAAAGTTGAACCCGACTCATCTGGGATAGAGGCATAGTGTTTATTTATTTATTTTGGTGACATTTAGCTGCTGAAACATTGATGTAGTAGATTTGCATCCAAAGAGCCTTTTTCCAACTGTGCATCCATGTTCCTACTATAAATCATACTCCTTCCGTTCCAATTTATGTGAACCTGTTTGATTGGGAACATAATTTAAAAAAAATGGAGACTTTTTGAATTTATAGTCCTAAACAAGTCAAAAAGGGTCCAGAGTATTTGTGTGGTTATAAAAGTTTCTCATTAAGTGTAGAATTGAAAGTTTAAGCTAAATTGTTTCCAAATTTAGAAATGGGTCATTCTTTTTGGAACGAACCAGAAAGGAAATAGGATCACATAAACCGGAACGGAGGGAATAGTATGATTTAAGAAATTTTCTTTGTGGTGCCTCCTACCCTCTCACTATCCGATTAAGTCAGATGTTTGATGGACATGTTGTTGTTGTAGTTTACTTGTCCAGGCAAAACTTTACCAATTTACATTTATGCTGCTCTCATTTTAATATTGATCATATAGCATGTGTTCACGAGACTAAGTGGGCAGGATCGAAGGTGAGGAATATAGATGGGTTTAAACTGTGGTACTCTGGACGCTCGAAGGGTAAGAACGGAGTGGGTATTCTGGTGGATAAGGATCTTAGAGAGTCAGTGGTTGAGGTTAGGCGAGTGAGTGATAGACTAATGTTTATTAAGTTAGTGGTTGGAGGGCTCACTCTAAATGTCATTAGCGCCTACGCGCCCCAAGCGGGTTTGGATGAAGAGGTTAAGAGGTGTTTTGGGAGGGTTTAGATGAAGTGGTGCGTGGTATTCCGCCCACAGAGAAGTTATTTATAGGAGGGGATTTCAACGGGCATATCGGCGCGTCTGCCAGTAGTTATGGCGAGGTGCATGGCGGCTGTGGCTTTGGGGTTAGGAACGGAGGTAGAACTTCTCTATTGGATTTCGCTAAGGCTTTTGAGTTGGTGATTGCGAACTCTATGTTCCCGAAGAGAGAGGAGCATTTGGTTACTTTTCAGAGTACGGTGGCTAAGACTCAGATCGATTATCTTCGCCTAAGGAACTATGATAAAGGGTTGTGCAAGGATTGCAAGGTTATCCCGAGTGAGTCACTCGCGACCCAACATCGGCTCTTGGTGGTGGACGTCAGCATCCCGATAAGGAGGAAGAGGAGGGTGGTTCGGGGTAGTCCGAGGATTAGGTGGGGTGCCTTGACGAAGGAGAAAGCTCACGAGCTGGGGAGGTGGCTATTGGCTATGGGGGCCTGGAGAAGCAGTGGGGAAGCTAGCGGTATGTGGACGATGATGGCGAACAGTATTAGGAAGGCGGCACGAGAGGTACTAGGGGTCTCGAAGGGTTACTCGGGCGGGCACAAGGATGACTGGTGGTGGAATGCCGAGGTCTAGGGTAAGGTGGAGTTAAAGAAAGCGGCGTATCGACGGTTAGTGGAGAGTACGGATGAGGAAGAGAGGCAGAGGAACAGAGTAAGTTATAAGGAAGCTAAGAAGGTGGCGAAGTTAGCGGTCACGGAAGCGAAGAGTGTAGCATTTGGTTCACTTATACGAAGAATTGGGGGAAAAACCGGAGATAAGAAGTTGTTCCGGCTGGCCAAGGCGAGAGAGAAGACGGCTCGGGATCTAGACCAAGTGAGGTGCATCAAGGACGAGGAAGGCCAAATGTTAATAGAGGACGCACAGATTAAGCGGAGGTGACAGACGTACTTCCATAAGCTGCTAAATGATGAAGGGGACGGAGACATTGTGCTAGGGGAATTGGAGCACTCCGAGTGTCACCGAGATTTTAGCTACTGTAGGCGCATTAGAGTCGAGGAGGTTGTCGGGGCTATGCGTAAGATGAGCAGGGGCAGAGCGACAGGGCCAGATGAAATTCCAATAGAATTTTGGAAGTATGTGGGTAGAGCAGGATTGAAGTGGCTAGCTGGGCTGTTTAATGCTATTTTCAAGATGAAGAAGATGCTAGAGGAATGGAGGTGGAGTACGATGATTCCGCTATACAAGAACAAAGGCGATATCCAGAACTGTAACAACTATAGGGGCATCAAGCTATTGAGTCATACCATGAAAGGGAGGAGGCTTCTGAGAATCAGTTTGGGTTCATGCCTGGTCGTTCCACTACGGAAGCGATCCATCTTATTCGGAGGTTGGTGGAACTGTACAGGGATAGGAGGAGGGATTTGCGCACGGTGTTTATTGACCTAGAGAAAGCTTATGATAAGGTACCTAGGGAAGTTCTTTGGAGATGCCTGGAGGTGAAAGGTGTTCCGGCGGCTTATATTAGGGTGATTAAGGATATGTATGATTGAGCTAAGACTCGGCTAAGGATAGTGGGGGGCGACTCGGAGCATTTCCCGGTTGTTATGGGGCTACACCAAGGATCTGCGATCAGCCCGTTCGTATTTGCCCTGACGATAGATGCACTGACACACCATATCCAAGGGGAAATGCCATGGTGTATGTTATTCGCTGATGATATAGTACTGATTAATGAGACGCGAGGCAGTGTTAACGAGAGGTTGGAGGTTTGGAGACGGACCCTTGAGTCTAAAGGTTTCAAGTTGAGCAGGACTAAGACTGAATACGTGGATTTCAAGTTCAGCAGCGTGCCGGGTGAAGCGGACGTGGACGTGAGGCTGGACTCACAAGTCATCCCCAAGAAAGGGAGCTTTAAGTACCTGGGGTCGATTATACAGGGGGATGGGGATATTGACGAGGATGTCACGCACCGTGTAGGAGTGGGGTGGATCAAAGGAGGCTAGCGTCTGGTGTCCTGTGTGACAGGAAGGTGCCTCCGGAACTTAAAGGAAAGTTCTATCGAACGGTTGTTAGGCCGACCATGTTGTATGGTGCAGAGTGCTGGCCAGTGAAGAATTCTCATATCCAGAAGATGAAAGTTGCAGAGATGAGGATGCTGAGATGGATGTGCGGACACAGTACGCTAGATAAGATTAGGAATGACGATATTCGGGTGAAGGTGGGCGTGGCTCCCATAGAAGACAAGATGCGGGAAGCTAGGCTTAGATGGTTCGAGCACATGAAGAGGAGAAGCCTGGATGCACCGGTGAGGAGGTGTGAACGGTTGGCCTTGACGGGTATGAGGAGAGATAGAGGGCGGCCTAAGAAATATTGGGGAGAGGTGATCAGGCAGGACATGGTGCGGATGCAGATTTCCGAGGACATGGCTCTTGATAGGAAGTTGTGGAGGTCGAGCACTAGGGTTGTAGGTTAGGAGATAGGAGGCTAGTGTGATAATGTTTTGTTTTAGGCTGCTAGGGGCTTCAGTTATGTTCTTAATACTTCTTTAAGGTCAAAAGTTAGGCTATAGTATGTTTAGCGGCCCTGTATGTACATATTATTCCCTTGCGTATGTAGTATTGTGCCTTTGTTGATGCTTAGTGTTAATACTTTGCTCTCTATTTTCTGGTTATCCTTTGCTGCTACTGATACATTGTCTCTTTCCTTCTTGTGCCGAGGGTCTACCGGAAATAACCTCTCTACTCCTCCGGAGTAGGGGTAAGGTCTGCGTACACACTACCCTCCGCAGACCCCACATGTGGGGTCTCACTGGGTTGTTGTTGTTGTTGTTGTTGTTGTATACTACTCTAATATTTGCTTAATTAAAGGTTGGGATGCTTGATCCACCAAGGGATGAAGTAAGAAATGCCATCCTTTCATGTATGAATGCGGGCATACGTGTAATCGTTGTTACTGGGGATAACAAGGTAAAATGAAGAGTCTGGTGAATACTGAATAGTTTAAGCTGCAATAATCTGCTTTGACCCAATTTAATTTCTGCATAATTTTAGACAACTGCAGAATCTTTGTGCCAAAAAATTGGTGCCTTTGATCACTTGGGAGATTTTACTGGGTTTTCTTACACTGCTTCTGAGTTTGAAGAACTTCCGGCATTGCAGAAGTCAGTGGCATTACAGCGAATGACAATTTTATCCAGGTAATACCTTTGCTTCTTGTTAGAACCCTTTTTAATTTTTAATTTATATATATAAATTTATTGACTCTTGGTTCTAGCTTATCTTTTTCTGCCATTTATAGTGGTTGATTTCCTTCCATTGACAGATATCTTTTATGATGTCAGGGTAGAACCATCCCACAAGAGGATGCTTGTTGAAGCATTACAGAATCAAAATGAAGTGGTAACTCTCCCCTCTTTTGGTTGTCGCTTTGATCTTTCCTCAAATGAAAATGTGCTTGCACAGGTCCTCTGTTTTAGACTAGAAAGGAACGACATAAAATATGGTTCGTAACTTCGTCATGAGTACATTTTTTTTTTTAAAGTATGCATCATGATAAACTGTTTTGAACTGGTAGTATGATGGCACGTGTAGTAAGGCTGGTGAAGTTGCATTTGTACGGCCAATCATTTGTTTGCAAATCATTATCTCTTTGTCTATATGCTGGGGCAACTTCTAGTTCTGCCTGTTAACTTGCTTATTAATCTGCATGGGTTTGGGTACTTTGGCATCTTGAGTGCTTTAACTTGCTTATTAACCTGCATGGAGTGGGTACTTTGGCATCTTGAGTGCTTCTTTTGGTTAGTCTCTGATATGTTGTGTCTTCGCATGTCCTATAGGTTTAGTTTACCTTCTCGAGTACTTTTTAATGTAAGATTACTTGACAACTCCTCCCATTGAAATGGTTAGTAGCAATGACAAGCGTATACCTCTGTTTTGAGCTGTTTTAAATACAGAGTACGAGGTACAGGATTCCTTCTGTTATTACCTCTTTCCAAACTTTTTATATGAATATTCTCTTGTCCTTGTGTAAATTTGCTGTCTTCTAGCCTCTTGTCAAGTATTTTCACCGCCTGAGTTTGCTTAACAATTGTTATCATTGAAATGGACCATAACTACGTTGATTGGTTTCCTCGATCATTACTTCTTTCTAATACTTTGCATGTGAAACTTGTTTTATCCTTGTTTAAATGAACAGGGTCCCTTAGCCTTGTCGTGAGTGTTTTGATTATCAAAGCTTGCTAATATTCTTCATATTGGAATGCACCATAAATTTGCAGAAAGAGACTTAGATTTTTCGTTCTTTTAGTTCCATGCTTGTGAAATATCTTTCCGGCCAAATTATTCTTGTGTTGACAAATTTAGTTCTTTCTCTTTTCTTTTCATATTGATATGTTTTTCTGATATTTTAATTCTAAGGTTGCTATGACTGGAGATGGAGTCAATGATGCACCTGCATTGAAGAAAGCAAACATTGGAATTGCCATGGGATCTGGAACTGCAGTTGCGAAGGTACTTGCTTTTTTTTGCATAGCTTATTTCTGGTGATGAATTAAAAAGCTTGCTAGAAGTCTAGTGAAATGTTAAAACTCCCACTTGCCAATTTGAATTTCAGAACCAAGATGCACTCTAACCCTCCCCTTGTAGATAGTCGAGGATTTAATGTAGTTGTATGTTAAGAGTATATCTAGGTAATATGCTTTATTCTTTCTGGTTGCCCATGATTAGGAATTCCAGTGATTAGGAAAGTTTTCTTAGCTTAAAATTTTCTGATTTTATGTAATCTAAACTCCTATATCATGAATACTGTTTAATGTATTGTCTAAAATCAATTCAACACGAGTTTTTCTCTTTGACTATATGGTATCAGCCTCTACAATCTTAAGTAAACATAATTAGCTTCCACATACTGGAAGAAGGCATAATTGCAAAGTTTTTTGTTTCTCCATAATATTGTTGTCTTTTGGTGATGTTTGGTGGCACTATCTCCTTTGACCATTATTCTGGCTGTTTTTCAGGTGAATTTTCTAGTAAAACATTTTCGAACTTCTTTTCTGTCTTCAGGGGATGAGTATTTGGGTATTGAGTCCTCCTCTGAACATAATTTTACGGTCATAGTTCTGAAAAAAATATCTTTTCTTCTTTTTCTTCATGATTCAGAATTTGGATATTCAGTCCCTCATTTGAACATTAAATTTGGATATTTGTTCCAGGAAAGTCGTGTTGCCTTCTTTTTCCTCATATGGTCTCAGAACATGAATTGAGTCTCTATTGTGCACATTAAATTTCAGATCACTGTTTCGAGAAATAAATGAAGAATGGAGCATTGATTATCGAACTTAATCAGGTGTCTGCAAAAATAGGATAATTTATTATATATCAAACCATAAGTTTCAGTTTTCCATTCCCAAAAGGGAAAGCTCTTTTTTCTTTCTGAGGGACTAGGAGATTGGATCTAGTTGTAAGAAGAATGCTTAGTTCATTTTTCTCCTTATAAGGAGGTTCCAGTTATCAAGAAAATGCCTCCAGTTGTTTTTGTTGTTTTAATTGCAAAACATTGAATATCTATTCATGCCATTTGAATCAAGGAACCCTAGATGCTGCTGGAGTAAGGGATTGTCAACTAGGATGTTCTTGCATGTCATAGATTCTTATTCAAGACTTGTATCATTTCTTGATACCATGGTATTAAAGTTTGGGTATTGCATTGTATCATTATTGTGGAAATTTATTTGGCTATTCTCCAGCTATCATTTCTGTGGAAAGAGTAAGAAACTTGAATAATTTCATTCATATTTTTGAATGTCATATACATGGCTTTATATACAAGAAGAGGTTAGAAACAAAATCCCATAAAATCTTACAAAATCCCATAAAATCTGGGATAAAATAAAACAAAGAATCAAAATTTGATATAGAAAGATCTTAGAGAATCAAAACTTGATTTGGACAAATCTTAGAGGATCAAATCTTGATATGGAGAATATCTTCTTGGAAATCCTCTATCATTCAATACTCCCCTCAAGCTGGTGAATGGATATCTTCCATTCCTAGCTTGCTTATCAGGTCTTGAAACACATTGTTTGACAGTCCTTTTGTTAAAACATCGGCCAACTAATCTTTTGTAGATACAAATGGTGTACAGATGAGTCCACTATCTAATTTCTCCTTAATGAAGTGTCTATCTACCTCAATATGCTTAGTGCGATCAAGCTGTACAGGATTATGAGCTATATTTATTGCTGATTTATTGTCACAATATAGTCTCATAAGTCCTTCCCATCTTATCTTCAAATCATCAAGGATTATCTTTAACCATAACAACTCACAAACTCCCATCGCCATAGATCTGAACTCGGATTCTGCACTTGATCTGGCCACCACATTCTGTTTTTTACTTCTCCAAGTCACAAGATTTCCTCCTAAAAAGGTACAGTATCCAGAAGTTAACCTTCGATCCACTAATGAACCAGCATAATCCGCATCAATATAAGCCTCTAAAACCATGTCTCCTCCTCTTCTGAATAATATTCCTTTTCCGGGGCTTCCTTTAAGATATTGTAGAATCCTGTTCGCCGCTTGAAGATGCATTTCTCTAGGGTCATGCATAAATTGGCTAACGACACTTACAGCAAAAGCAATGTCTGGCCTTGTATGAGACAAGTAGATCAATTTCCCTACAAGCCTTTGATATGAGCCTTTATCTACCACAAAATCTTCTGGAGAATTACACAACCCATGATTATATTCAATTGGTGTGGCCACTGGTTTACACCCTAATTTTCCTGTTTCTTTCAACAAATCAAGCACATATTTTTGTTGGGAAATAAAGATTCCTTGTTTAGAATGTGCTACATCAATTCCCAAAAAATACTTTAATTTTCCATGATCTTTGATATCAAATTCCTTGAGTAAACAATTCTTCAAATTGTGTATCTCCTCTGAATCATCACCCGTTACTATGATATCATCTACATAGACCTTACCTTTCTTGTTTTTGAGTGCCTTATGAACAAGGTGTGGTCTCCTTGACTCTGCCGATAGCCTAGCTTGATCATAACCTTTGTAAATCTTCCAAACCATGCACAGGGTGATTGCTTTAGTCCATAGAGTGCCTTCTTCAGTCTACATACCATTCCCTTCTTGCTTTCAAAACCAGGTGGTACCTCCATATAGATCTCCTCATCTAAATCTCCATGTAGAAAAGCATTTTTAACATCAAATTGCTGTAGGTTCCAATTAAAAATCTCAGCCAATGACAATAAGATCCTCACTGTATTCATTTTTGCCACTGGGGCAAAAGTCTCCAAATAATCAATTCCATAGGTCTGTGTGTAACCCTTTGCTACCAAACGTGCTTTAAATCTTTCTATAGACCCATCAGACTTGTATTTCACGGTAAACACCCATCTACACCCTACCGGCTTTTTCCCTTTTGGTAATTCCACCATTTCCCAAGTTTTATTCTTCTGCAATGTTTCCATTTCCACCCTCATAGCTTCTTCCCACTCTTTGTTGCCTAATGCTTCAAACAAATTTTTTGGAACAGGAATTGTGTGGAGGTTACTGAGAAAAGTTTTATGGCTTGGGGATAGGTTTTGATATGTCAAGGAAAGGCACAAAGGGTGTTGTGTGCAGGGTCTGGTTCCCTTTCTAAGTGCAATGGGAAGATCAAGATCATTTGGTTGGTTATGATCTTTATGATCAGTTTGGTTTGGTGTTTCTGATTGTTCAACAGGTTCAGGATAGGTATTAGGAGCAGGAACATGAGGAGATAATTGTGGTTGAGTAGTTTGATCAGTTAGCCTCTTTCTTCTGGAATAGACCAGCAATGGTGGATTACTTTCTTGAATTCCTTTATCTATATCAAGATTAGAAGACTCAATAGGTTCATTAGGATTCAGAGACTCATATGAGTCACGCAAGGACATAGATAAGGATTTGTCATGGCTAGGAATAGACAAATCAAGTAGTGATAAGTCTAGAGATCCTTTTCCATCCAATAACTCCCCCTGAATGTAAGAATTTTTAAAAAATGACTCACTTTCATCAAATGTGACATCAGCTGAAACAAAAAACTTCTTGGTTGATGGTTGGTAACACTTATATCCTTTTTGAGTAGGAGAATATCCAATGAAAACACACTTAAGAGCACGTGGATCTAATTTGCCTCTATTCTGAGAATGAATGTGAACGTAGGCAATACTCCCAAAGATTCTAGGAATCAATTTACTGTAATTTTCGAAATTCAGGAAGAAACTCCTAAGAATATTAAGTGGGCTCTTAAAATTCAGAATTTTTGATGGTATTCTGTTACTAAGATATGCAGCAGTTAGGACAGCTTCCCCCCAATACTGATTTGGAACCCTTTTGTGAAACAATAGTGATCTAGTAATGTCAAGTAACAAACCGTTTCTTCTCTCCGCTATCCCATTTTGTTTGATGAGTATTGACACATGAAGATTCGTGAATAATTCCCTCATTTTTGAAGAAAATAGAGAGGTTTTGATTGAAGTAGTCCTTGGCATTATCAGAACGAAATCTTTTAATTGTCATATCAAATTGGGTTTTAACCGGATTAAAAAAGGTAGGAAGAACGTGGCTGACATCTGATTTTTGCTTTAACAAATAGATCCATG